AGTATGATGGTGATGCATGCGAGTTGTTTGAGCCCTTTGTAAGTTAGGATGTTACTGAACGCAACCCTACCCTACCATACCCTACTCTACCCTACTACCTTACCCTACCCTACCCTACCCTACCCTACCCTACCCTACCCTACCCTACCTTACCCTACCCTACCCTACCCTAGTCCCCACCCTACCCTACCCTACCCTACCCTACCCTACCCTACACTACCCTACCCTTACACTACCCTACCCTACCCTTACCCTACCCTACCCTAACCTACCCTACCCTACCCTACCCTACCCTACCCCTACACTACCCTACCCTACCCTACCCTACCCTAGTCCCTACCCTACCCTACCCTACCCTACCCTACCCTACCCCACCCCACCCTACCCTACCCTACCCTACCCTACCCTACCCTACCCCTACACTACCCTACCCTTCCCTACCCTACCCCTACCCCTACCCCTACCCTACCCCTATATTGACCCTTTCACTACCCCTTTCAACTTTGACCTTTTCACTACCTTTTTTCTAATAGTAGACTAGAGGTACAGGTTTACGCGATAACTGTATGTTTTGATATGTATGATTAACGGATGCATTGGTTTGGGTGTAGAAACTTGCATTTTTATTGGTATGATTTTTGTAGAACTGGGTAACTGCTTTTAATTGAACTGTAAAGTATGATGGTGATGCATGCGAGTTGTTTGAGCCCTTTGTAAGTTAGGATGTTACTGAACGCAACCCTACCCTACCATACCCTACTCTACCCTACTACCTTACCCTACCCTACCCTACCCTACCCTACCCTACCCTACCCTACCCTACCTTACCCTACCCTACCCTACCCTAGTCCCCACCCTACCCTACCCTACCCTACCCTACCCTACCCTACACTACCCTACCCTTACACTACCCTACCCTACCCTTACCCTACCCTACCCTAACCTACCCTACCCTACCCTACCCTACCCTACCCCTACACTACCCTACCCTACCCTACCCTACCCTAGTCCCTACCCTACCCTACCCTACCCTACCCTACCCTACCCCACCCCACCCTACCCTACCCTACCCTACCCTACCCTACCCTACCCCTACACTACCCTACCCTTCCCTACCCTACCCCTACCCCTACCCCTACCCTACCCCTATATTGACCCTTTCACTACCCCTTTCAACTTTGACCTTTTCACTACCTTTTTTCTAATTGACCCTTTCAATTGACCCTTTCATTTCATAATTGACTTTTCACTAAATTGACCCTTTCACTACCCCTTTCAACCCTTTCACTACCCCTACCCTACCCTACCTGTAGGGTAGGGTAGGGTAGTGTAGGGGTAGGGTAGGGTAGGGTAGGGGTAGGGTAGGGTAGGGTAGGGTAGGGTAGGGTAGTGTGGTGTAAGGGTAGGGTAGGGTAGTGAAAGGGTTGGGTAGGGTAGGGTAGGGTAGGGTAGGATAGGATAGGATAGGGTAGGGTAGGGTAGGATAGGGTAGGGTAGGGTAGGTTAGTGTAGGAGTAGGGTAGGGTAGGGTAGGGTAGGGTAGGGTAGGGTAGGGTAGGGTAGGGTAGGGTAGGGTAGGGGAGGGTAGGGTAGGGTAGGGCAGGATAGGGTAGGAGTAGGGGTAGGGTAGGGTAGGGGATTGTAGGGTAGGGTAGTGGTAGGGCAGGGTAGGGTAGGGGTAGCGTAGGGTAGGGTAGGGTAGGGTAGGGTAGGGTAGGGGTAGAGGTAGGGTAGGGTAGGTAGGGTATACCTTACCACTACCCTACCCTACCCTACCTTACCACTACCCTACCCTACCCTCCCTACCCTACCTTACCTACCCTACCCTACCCTACCCTACCCTACCCTACCCTACCATACCCTACCCTACCCTTACACTACCCTACCCTACCCTACCCTACCCTACCCTACCCTACCCTACCCCTACCCTACCGTACAATACCCTACCCTACCCTACCCTACCCTACCCTTACACTACCCTACCCTACCCTACCCTACCCTACCCTACCCTTACCCTACCCTACCCCTACACTACCCTACACTACCCTACCCTACCATACCCTACCCTACCTTTGCACTACCCTACCCTACACTACCCTACCCCTACCCTACCGTACCCTACCCTACCCTAGCCTACCCTTACACTACCCTACCCTACCCTTACCCTACCCTACCCTACCCTACCCCTACCCCTACACTACCCTAACCTACCCTATCCTACCATACCCTACCCCTACCCTACCTACCCCTACACTACCCTACCCTACCCTACCCCGCCCTGCCCTGCCCTACCCTACCCTACCCTACCGCTACCCTACCCTACCCTTGCACTACCCTACCCTACCCTACCCTACCCTACCCTACCCTACCCTACCCCTACCCCTACCCTACCCTAACCCTACACTACCCTACCCTACCCTACCCTACCCTACCCTACCATACCCTACCCCTACCCTACCCTACCCCTAACCCTACACTACCCTACCCTACCCTACCCAACCCTACCCCTACCCTACCCTACCCTACCCCTACCCCTACCCTACCCTACCCTACACTACCACCGATAGTCCAAGTTTCAGCTAAATCGGCCCAGAAACGGCTGAGATATTGCAAAAACAAATTTATCGTATTTACTGGCGAATCCCCTTGGCGAGGGGTGCCCGGCGCTGGTATTCGTTGTCAAAGGTCAATGACCTTCCGGCTCTGATTATTTCCAGTCAGTTTTTAGGCGAACAACTGAGCCTAAAGCACGTGCCCTCTGCTCGGCGCCGGTCGCGGCCCCATCACGTGCACACCGCTGAACCCACCCTCTCAAGAATTTAATACGACAAATGAGTGCACGCGATCGACTTACAGCGAAAATTTCACCCCCGTAGCCCTTACCGTTCCCGAGCAATAGCCTGTTTTTGGCGATTCTAATGCTAACCCTATGGCGCACATGAGCACGCGCCACGGGCGCACCCCCGGCCGCATCGTGCCCAAAATTTATTACGACCTGTTCATTTACGTGACCCACGAGTGGTAAAAATTTCACCATCCTGCGTCAATCGACGGCACCGCAATAAGCGTTTTTGGGAGTAACCCCGACGGCGGCGTGGGCGTGGGCGGCGGCGGACTTTTTAAGATTTATAATAGTAGACTAGAGGTACAGGTTTACGCGATAACTGCATATGTTTTGATTTATGTTATGTTACGGGTGCATTAGTTTGGGTGATTGACTTGTATTTTAAGATGTATTATTTGGATAGATTTGGGTAGCTGTTTTTAATTAAACTGTAAGGGTTGGTGATAGGTGCGGGGTGTTCAAGTGTTTTGTATGGTAGTACCATACCCTACCCTACCCTACCCTACCCTACCCTACCCTACCCTACCCCTACACTACCCTACCCTACCCTAACCTACCCTACCCTACCCTACCCTACCCTACCCTACCCTACCCTACCCCTACACTACCCTACCCTACCCTACCCTACCCTACCCCTACACTACCCTACCCTACCCTACCCTACCATACCCTACCCTACCCTACCCTACCCTACCCTACCTACCCTACCCTACCCTACCCTACCCTACCCTACCCTACTCCAACCCTACCCTACCCCACCCTACCTTACCCTACCCTTACCCTACCCTACCCTACTCCTACCCTACCCTACCCTACCCTACCTTTACACTACCTTTACACTACCCTACCCTACCCTACCCTACCCTACCCTACCCTTACACTACCCTACCCTACCCTACCCTACCATACCCTACCCTTACACTACCCTACCCTACCCTACCCTACCCTACCCCTACCCTACTCCTACCCTACCCTACCCTACTCCTACACTAACCTACCCTACCCTACCCTACCCTTACACTACCCTACCCTACCCTACCCTACCCTACCCTACCCTACCCTACCCTACCCTACCATACCCTACCCTTACACTACCCTACCCTACCCTACCTTACCCTACCCTACCCTACCCTACCCTACCCTACCCTACCCTACCCTACCCTACCATACCCTACCCTACTGGCTACTACCCTAACCTACCCTACTATACCCTACCCTACCCTACCCTACCTAATTCTACCCTACCTAACTCTACCCTACCCTACGCTACCCTACCCTACCTTACCCTACCCTAGTCCCTACCCTACCCTACCCTACTACCCTACCCTACCCTACCCTACCCTAACCTTACCCTACCCTTACCCTACCCTACCCTACCCTACCCTACCCTACCCTACCCTACCCTACCCTACCCTACCCTACCCTACCCTACCCTAACCTACCCTACCCTACCCTACCCTACCCTACCCCTACCTTACCCTACCCTACCCTACCCTACCCCTACCCCTACACTACCCTACACTACACTACCCTAAACTACCACCGACAGTCCAAGTTTCAGCTAAATCGGCCCAGAAACGGCTGAGATATTGCAAAAACAAATTTATTGTATTTACTGGCGAATCCCCTTGGCGAGCGGTGCCTTGTGTCGGCCTTCGTTGTCTGATTATTTTCACTCAGGTTTTTAAGCGAACAACTGAGCCTAAAGCACGAGCGTTTTGCTCGGCGCCGACCGCGGCCCCACCACGTGCACACCGCTGAACCCACACCGTCGAAAATTGATTACGACAAATGAGTGCACGCGGTCGACTTGGCGTGAAAATTTCACCCCCGTAGCCCTTACCGTTCCCGAGCAATAGCCTGTTTTTGCCGATTCTAATGCTAACCCTATGGCGCACATGAGCACGCGCCACGGGCGCACCCCCGGCCGCATCGTGCCCAAAATTTAATACGACCTGTTGAATGACGTGACCCACGAGTCGTGAAAATTTCACCCTCCTGCATGAATCGACGGCGCCGCAATAAGCCTTTTTGGGAGTAACCGGCGGCGGACTTTTTAAGATTTATAAATAGTAGATTGTTATCAATATACATAAGACATATATTTAGTGACCTCGGAACCTCACCCACCCTCTCAGACAGGGTCGGTCATTACCTTGGGGTTCCAGAACTCTGTGGAGTTGTCTCGAATCATAAGGTCCGGTGGCCGACACGGAATGGACGACACCGTGAACTGCAGCTCGTAGCGCGTCTCCGAGAGGAAGTTGAACGCGTGCACGCTCATCGTGTACTCGCCCTTCTGGTTGTACACCCACTGGAATGACGCACAAGTAGTTGGGTGTTACGAGAAAGGATTTGGATTTGCTATTGCATCCGTTCTGTAACTACCGAATTTCGACACTAAAAAAGCAATAAGCAATTGGACTTATGAGTTATGCTGTTATTGCTGTTACGAAATGAGACCACTAGATGATTAGAGGTAACCTAACATAAAGTCAACAAATTGCCAGCGTATTTATGCAGTTGATGGACAGCCCGGCTATCCTACATAGATAAATGTTTCAAGTTCATGTATTTTGATGTTGAAAAGTGAGCTAATCGTCGGTTGCAGACTGCTAGAAAATGGTAGTAGAGAGATCTGTGATACCGCATCGGAAGAAGAATCCGCTTACCGTCATTGGCATGGGATTTTTTATCTCGTTACTGTAGATATAGGACCCATCGTCGTACTTATCGCTGCACGTGTCGCGGTCACCGAAGCCATGCAGCTCTGAAAAATACGGGCTTGCTGATGCGAATGGCGATCCCATGCGTGATTTTCAGTGACGTTTTAATCCTGTCTCCAGTGCTACTTACGTATATCAGTAATACTTCAGCTACTTTTAGTTACTCCGCAAGCCATGTAAATAAATTAAGACAATAAACTCAACGACAGACCTTCTTTATTATTATGGTTTTATCGAGGTATTATTTGTTTTACACGTAATCTTTAGACTGACGCTGAAATATGTCGATTTCTTCGCTTACTGGAGCCGTCGCCGGGGTTCCAGATGAGGCAGGCATATGTGCCGATCGAGGCCATGCGGATCTCGAACATCTTGGGTGATTTGGCCTCGGACACCATCAGGTAGTCGTCAATGATAATGTTCACCGCCGACTCCAGAACTGGAATAAAGAATTGGAACGGTGAGGCTAGATTAGACAATCGGAGATGACTGACGACCCTGAATCCAAATGAAATGGGCAGACATTCATGTATTTACGGTGCCAAGTGACAAGTAGAGGGTGTATTGCTATGTCCTGACACGTGTCACGTTACCTTTGACGGTCGTGTTGATGGGGGTAGACCTTCCCTGCAGCGGGTTCCAGCCGTACAGACTGACGGAGTACGTCCCCGGCTGAAGCAGTGCAAAGGGGTGATGATGAGCCTCTAATTCTTTGAGCAGGATCTAGTTAGCATATCGGTGGAAATGGAGACAGACTGAACACCTGTGTCCACACATCAAAAACCGTGGGGAGTTACGAAATTCAACTAGTCTTGAGCAGCTTTTCTGGCCTCAAATTAAAAAAAAAAACACACAAATTATGCAAAAGTCAATTTCATCCGTCGACGCGCTCAGCCAATCCCTAGCTAAAAAAAAAACAAAAAAAAAACATAGCTTAGTGGTCACCAGAGCAAAATGCATTTCCTTTATTTCTCGCCCTCTTGGGTATGTTTTCCATAACAGAAGAGCGGATATTTACGTCTTACAACGTAAGGGCTCGCTTACCTCTGGGAAAATGTAGTCGACGGGTGACGTTGAGGAGTTCGTGAGGAACGTCCCGTTGTCCATTTCCAGAATGTACTGGAACACCTTCCCCTGGGTCATGTTCAGGAAGAAGGACACATTTCTCTCGATCGGGAATGAGTTGTACTCGGGACCATGGCCAGTCGAATATATTTCGCCACCTGGGAAATGAAGAATTCAAGGTCACGTAATACTCACTTTCATCATATAAGCACCGACGCCTATAAATCATGGCTTTAGAAATGACAGGATGTTTGTGCCGTGGGCAACACATTTTGCATGGTATGAACTATGAAGTAAAGATAGAACCTGGGGTTGTGCGAATCGCCCAGGGTCTGTATAATATTTCAGGTCATTATTTTACTTGTAACCCTTTATTTATGATAACTCAATTGATCTTTGCTGTTGATCTTCGTTCAAACCCTCACCAATCGGCAGGAATGGAAGATAGTAGGCCGATGTTGTGAGGTTTTTGATCTCGGCCCACACGGGAACGCGATTCGTCATCGTGAACTCTGAAGCCAGGTTGAAGATACGGAGGGTGGCGCGGTACCCTCCTTCGCTATCGTATGTCCTGAAGAAAAATCCGGAGGATAAATTATCTGCATCGTTGATGGTGTGAACTTCAACTGTCCAATACAAATTTATACAATCGAATATGTATGGAATGTCCTCTTATACTGACTCAAATTTCTCTAAATGTACTGTGTAAAGAAGCATAGTTATGACTGAGTAAAAAGTGCTCGTATGCTCAGATAATTAGAATCATTTAATGACTAAAAAGTCGCCGAATATCGAAGCAAAAGTTGAATTATGTGCATATTCTAATGTAACATAGTTTTTTTTGTCAATGTATAAATAACCTCACAGCAAATCACGTTAGTGCCCATGGCTGGCTGACGCCACGCCCTCCATACCTGTTGAAGCCGATCTCGTAGATCTCGTCTGCCTCGCGCTCCTCGGGAATCTCCCACTCGAACACAAACCCGTCGCCAGTGTACAGCTCGGCAGAGGCCATGGTGGGCATCGGTACACCCGCCGGGAAGACCACCGTGAAATTGACGTCACCTGCGGGAAAACACCACCGTGAAATTGACGTCACCTGCGGGAAGGCATCGGTATTCGATATCAAGTTAATGATGGAAATGGTCAAGAAAGATATTGGACCACGGAATACAGTTGCTGACCAAGACGACTGACGGCAGGACGTTGAGACCAGAGACAGAGGATCACTCACCAGGAGGGGCGCGTTGTCCACCAGGTACTGACCACGGGTCAGGTAGAGGCTACTCACCGGGAATGGGCCAGAGGACGGGCGCGTTGTCCACCAGGTACCATTTGTCGGTGACAGCCCGTTGCACGTACAACGTGTGGCGGTACGTCTCCCGACCCCACTTGTTCTCTGCAGTGATGAGCACGTAGCGTGGTCCCGGGTCACCCAGCTTGTACCAGTAGATGTGCGACCAGCCGCCGTCTTCGATTACTGAAATGAAACCAGGACGTAGTGACTAGCGAGTCATGTACATGTACAATGCTTATTGAATTTACTTTGACATATTACCTGTTTATATGTGCTTAGTTTGCATGAGTTACAGAGTTTATCTGGAAAAACTTTTATTTTTATCATGCATGCACTTCGTTGCAACATCATCGCTGCTTACTGTCGGACTCCATAACCACTTTTTTGGCGCCCAGATGCGTCTCTCCGAAGTCGAACGTGATGGTGACAAAGCTTCCCGTCTTCATGTAGACGGTGGCGTTCGTCTTATTGTTGGTGGTCACGTGCTCCGGATCCAGAGTCACACGGAACCCGGTGATAGGGACCTGCCCCGGGTCGACGGGGAGCGTAGTCAGCGGACGGTATCCGAACGTCAATCGGTGGCTTTCGGTTGCCTCAGCTTTCTAAATAATTTGTCCAACACAACCCTGCTTGACCCAACATGACCCAACGTTGCGAGCCTGACCCAATCTACATTACCTCAACCTTACCCAGCCTGACCCTAACCTGACCCAATCTGACCAGGTTGGACCTTCTCTGATGCAACCTATTTCATCTTCACCTACCTCACCTAACCTGACCCGACCCGACCCAAGCCGACCTAACCTTCACCCGCCCCCACTGAGTACCGAGAAGCCCCACCAACCGGCTGATTCAGTCTGACCCTACCTGGACATCGATGGCCTGGCCGGCGCTCGTCTCGGACGAAATGTCGCCCGTGGTCACCACCCTGGCGAACGCCTGGTAGGCGCCCACCACGTCGTACGTGTGGTTGATGGTCAGCTGAACGGGGGACGATACGATGGCCCTCAGGTAGTGACGGGACCTCATCTCGCCGGATGAGCCCGCGTCGGCCAGCGAGCCGCCCTGGATTCCTATCTCCGGATCTGTCGAATAGCGGGTCAATGTAAGATAGATTGTGATTGCAATGATAAACTAATTAGCACAAAACTGAGGGTTAATTTATGTTAGGTCCAACCGGCTGGCCACTGCTGTATTACACATGATTGACCTTTGGCTGGATCTTTATTTTGTTTGTTTTGTTGGGTTAGGCCTTCTCGGTCCATTAAGACCATTTCAGAGCCGGGAGGATGATAGGATATAGGGGAGACATTGGTCTGGGCAGGCACCCTAGTGAGTCGCCGGGGCTGAGCCCGTCCAGAGGACAGGCCACCCAGCCCCAAGGTACTCACTGCACCCGGCTACGGGGTGCGCTCCCTCGGGAGCAGCGGTGCCGCTCCAAGGGAGCAGCCCGCATGAGATAAAGTTGCCCGTCCAGCCCGGAGGGGGGTTGCGGCGTGGAGGAGAAGGATTTCAGTTTCCTGAGGATAGAAGCATGGAACGGTGTGCTGGATCTTTATGCAATGATCTGTTGTCAATATTGATGTAAAGCGCTACAAAATAACGTTTTGTTGAATCTTTCCTTACCTTCGCCTTCGCCGGTGGGTCGCCATCCGATGACGGCTCCCTGGCTGATGTAGCCGATCACATCCCCGGGCTGTAGCCAGGTAGCCGTCTGCAGCCCCGACTCCACCAGCAGGTTACCGTAGCCCACGGCAGCTACCTCCTCGATTACCGAGTAGACGGCCGTGTAGCCGGGCCCCTCGGTAAGCGGCGAGCTGCTGTTTCCGTAAGCCGCCACCAGAGGCGCGGTGGTCGGCTGGGGCGAGACGGATGGCGACCGGCATACGGTCTGCCGGTGAGGCCATCAGGTCATGTTTGATTAGTAATCCGTGCGAGGATATTTTATATATAGCTATAGTTCGTTTTTTCTAAGTTCGACCCTCACTGTAAACGTCTCTTTGAACACAGCACGAGAATTGGAAGCTAAATTACTGAGAAAACTCGTTGGCGCACAATGATTTCGCAGACGATCAATTGTATCAAAATTATTTCTACCTGGCTTCTTTTTCCCCCACTCGCAGCTCGGTATTTGCAGCCTCACAGTCACAAGGATTGAGGTCTTGTCAGGAAGTGTAACTAAAGTAATTAATGAATCGCACGGCGCTTAACGTAACAGTGTATCATCGGTGTTAGAAACTTATTTTGAAAATATTAGTTCATATCTCCAATACAAAGTGCGCTAACCAGTTTTCTCAGTAATTCAGCTAGCCATTCTCGTGCTGTTTCCAAAAAGATATTTACAGTGAGGGTCGAACTTAAAAAACAAACTATAGTTAAAAATCAATGAAAATAAACCAGCTTGTGTTGTCGCAATATGTTTCTCGAGCTAACGTTTAACGTAACAAGCTAGCGTCCTTATTTGGCTCCAAAGCCGTCGCTCTCGCAACTTAAAATCAGCGAGACCGTTATAAAGAATTAACTTCTGTGTCTATGAAAACTCGCCATATGTAATGTATCCGGTGCGAGTTATCTGAAATTACCAGTGTCATCGATTTCCTTGTAAACACATGGAACTCACGTTAGCACACTGTCGCAGTGGCGTGTAGGCTCGCCGGCCTCGCAGGCCACTGTCTCCGGGTCGAGATCCGAGCAGAGCTCGCTGTCACAGGTGCCGGACGAATGGCAGAAGGTGCCGCCGCCGCACGTCGGTCGGAACACCTGCAGAATGCGTGCGAGAGATAACGACTCTTTATGTTTCACTCCAAAGTAAAAATAAATGCAGCGATAGTTCAAGCAATAAAAAAAGATACCGTCGAGCATCCAAATGGTAGTCATTCACAACTGCTGGCCAATTGGCCTGATTGAATACTTATTTACAGTGCATATGAAAGAGTAAGAATAAAGACATGTTTCACTTACCACAAGTTTTAGCGTCCCCTCCTTGACTGCATAATACTCGAAGCCTACCAATACCGACGGGCTAGTAACCCGGGCCCACGGCATGATGATGGTCGTCGCAGCGTATGACTCGCCTGCAAGCATGAACATATATCATATGTTTCTATTGATGTAAAACAAACAGGTGTAGAACACCTCAAGCAGCTCGTATTCTACAAGGTACAAGGTACAAGGTATGTAGAAGATTGACAACAAAGATAAGCCAAGCCAGCCACCTTGGCGAACCCACTGATAACATCATCGTTACGCTCTCATTGCGCTATGAGAGCAATGCGGGATGAATTGGATCTTTTAAGGTTGAATGGTTAAAATAAATGAATGTTAACTACGATCCCTGAGACATCACCTGTCTGTCCAGCCGGGGCCGCCTGTTCAGCTGCGGTGTCTACACTGGCTCCATCGCCAGCTGGGTTGCTGTGGAAACTGCTGTCCTTTGGAACAAAGCCGGTTCGGTCGCTGAAATAGGAGATGCAAAATAAATTATGCAGCTGTGGCCGGTCAAGTCCTCACACGACACACTCAACGAACGGCCTTTGTAAGGAATTAAGTGCTCAAAGTTCAGCATCGCCTAGTAACTGAACTACATCAGCAAAACGTATATTCCAAGATTCTTATAACACACATTTTCAGCACGTTATAAATACGAATTGGAATTGTTGCTCACAGGCTCCGTTTGCTCCTGTGTCCGGAGAGCAGCGGTGCTGAATGGTCGCCCAGGTGGAAACTGGGCGCGCCGGTCTTTAGGAGCGTGGTGGGATGCTGAGGCGGCGTCTGGCCCAGGCCGCGAACGTACGGCTCTGAGAATGACCACGCGCTGATTAGAATAAATACTCTGCTCTAGTCTAAAAAGAAAGTCATGTATCAATAACTCAGGCTATGTGGTAAACCATGCGCCAGTCATCTCAGACGAAGTTGTTGATTTACATACATGTGCAATATATAAATGCCTCCATTTATATGCGTTACATGTATGTAAATAATCATGCCACGGGATCTTGTAACCTAAGGTAGCTTTCGGTCATAAAAACAAAATAACGCTATTCGCCCAGAAACAGTCACCCTTTTGCCAATCAAAATGCTAAGAACGTTAACCCAATGAAATGCGTTCTATCACCCACCGGCTAGTGCGTAGGTCTCGCCGTCGGTGAAACCCTGGTCCATTTCGACTGTGAGGCTGAGCTGAGAGCCAGTGGTGAGCCAGAGCTGGCAGCTGATCTCGTCCCCCGGCTCAGTCAGGTCCGGACAGTCGAGCTCCAGCTGGCCGACCTCTTCACTCACCGTCACGGTGGTCTGATGGTATCGCGGCTGAGGGGAGGAGCATTGTCACGGACTATTGCACTGTGGTCGTGACAAAGTCATGAAGATGATGCTGTAGTTGTGAGAGGAGGAGCAGGAGGAGCAGAATCGTTATCGACACTCACTGAGTGCAGATAACGGCTGCGAGGAGGCTGGAATGGTACCTAGATATAGAGGGCAGGGGATTTTTCTTGGGTTTGAGAGACCTGAAAACCACATGACAGCTAAGGTCTGTTACTCTGCCGACTGCCCTGCAGGTTTATTCTTACCTTAGCCACTCCCGGTACATCGGTGAAGATGGCGGTGACCGTATAGGTGCCGGGCAATCGGTACTGGTAGGTGACTGTCGTAGCCTCATCGGCGGGCTTTGGCTTCGTGGCGTCAGAACCGTCACCGAAGTCGTATCTGCGGTTACGTGCGTGAGAAATGCGTCATTTAACGATTGAGAGACATGTTAGAAATAACTCATTTGCTCACCTGCATATAGATTATAATCGGCAAGGTTTTCACAAGTATACCTACCGAGAGATCGTTTCGAATGGAATTTCTTTTCTCATACCATAACAATTTTATCGTTATATTCATTTGCATATCAGCAGTTACAACTGCCAATTTCTTTTCGACTTACGAGATGAGAACCTGTTCACCGGATTCGAAGGCCGCCTGGAATGTGAACGGTGTGCCGACCGGCTGGACGTACTTCTCGACCACGTCCAAAGTGACGCCTTCAATGTCAGCCTGTCGGACGGAACGTTCGAGAGTCAGACATGCGGAAGGTATTGCTTACGTAGGACAGTCACTGTACACACAAAAATGTAATAAGTAATATGCCATCCGCGAACATGCTTACGTATTTATTCCAGGTCAGAACATTTCACCGTGAGAAGTTATTTCTGCAATCATCACGATGGAACATTCACCTACATTTGAATGCATGTGATAATAAAAAAGCAGTGCGTGTGTTGACTGACCTTGCCTCCTGTGCGATACACTTGCACGTACTCTCCTTCTCCGCCACACGTCTCACCGGAGCCGTCCGTACAGGGCACAGAGCACAGACTGGCGGATACCCGCTCAATGCCTGAAAGATGGGGTGGGGACACAATAAAATAGGACGTAATGCCACACGTCTCACCGGAGCCGTCCGTAAGGGCACAGAGCACAGGCTGGAGCATTAACCAACTGGATGGGGCATTAACCAACAATAATATCCGTGTTGAGACAGAGATCATTGGCCAATATTTTTGCGAAGTTTTTTTTTAATTTGTACCTTTATTCGCAACTAGCCGCTATGCAAGTTCAAGATAGTTGATCACAAAAGCCTTGATACGATAGTCTTTCATAATCGCTGCGTTAGATATGTAAAAAATGCCTCGAAACAAGCTATAATCACCCTAATTCAGCGGTCAGTGATGACCTGTAGAAACCATGATGTAATCTGAGCGCCTATAAACATGTACCTATTTAATGAAGCTGAGTTACTCACGCAAAACACTGCTACAGAGGCAGAACATTCCGTTCTTCACCCCTGCGTACATGAACTTGAGAGCCTGGCAGCGGATCTTGCAGATGTCGGGGCTTAGCTGGGTAGGTTCGTAGTCTCCGGGAGACACTGCAGTGAAATTGGACACATGTGAGATGTTGGTCAGCTTTTCGTGACTTTAAGACGTATGCGAGAAAAGTTCTAAAGTGAAACAAACAACGTTTATCACAGTTATCTTAAAAAGATACATATAACGGTTATTTAATTTAGCCTGGTTGAGCTGCGAATGAAACTACAATTCGCAGTACTGCAGGCAATATCCTGGATAAACTGTCAGCTCGCTATTTTCTCTTACCTCTGAAGTCTGGGTCGTTTGGGTAAGGGTCGTCTAGAAAACAGGCGCCCTCGGGATCGATTGTTGGTACCGCGTCGCCAACCAGCTCTGTAAGAACGAATGTAATTCACTCTTAAGGAATATCTACAAACAGGTTGCTGGCATATGCTGGATTAGGTAATACCTAACTATGCCTACATATTTGCTCAAGATGGTAAGCATATGCAACGGAAGAAACGCTGTTTATTTGCTTGTTACCATCATTAATTCGTACTTATTTCGGCACGGCCTAGCATGTGCTTGTAATACGTTTATAATTATTAATGCATTCTCATTTTACTAAGTTGCGATGTCCTCGTAGTAAAACTATTAATTCGTTTCTTCGGTTCATCAAAAATGTTTTGCTATTCAAACGCAGTGACGGTCGCACAGCCTGTGGTTTCCTGGCTCGCCCGAGGCCCGCCAGACGCCCGGATCAAGGTCAGCGATCACGTGACCGGTGTGAGGCCCAATCACGGCACTCGGCCATGAGTGCCGTGTCTGACCAGTGATCACGCCACTCGGCTGATCAGACACGGCCTCGGGCGGCAACAAGACGAGCCACCCAACAGACATAGTCAGTCTAAAAATGGTTTGTTTCTCACTGAATCGAGGCCGTACCGACCAGTAGTTTTCCTATTTGAATAAAGGATGGTCGTTATACCGCAAATAAACATCACTGAACCTATATTTAGCTCACCTGAGAACGAACACGAAAAGCTCATATTTAATGCAGGACCTAGCTTCAAAAAAAGGACTTCCTAGTCGTCTGGGATCGCCTCACCGTCATATTGTATTCATCCACCTTTGTGTGCTGTGGAGCTGATGTCCTTTCGAGGGTCGCGACAGGAAAAAAAAGTTATCCACAGCAGCATTGCTAACCTATAGCGAAAAATAGACATTTAGCGACGCCAAGCAAACGATTCATTTTAGCCACTGATCAAAAATACTATAGATATTTCACGTTTGGGTGTCTCACCGGGCTGCCACTCGCAGATGTATTTGTAGGTAGCCGTGCAGGCCACAGGCGAGAGAAGTTGATGATCCGATGAGCTCCCCAGGATAGCGCAGTCCTGGCCGCTGGGTGGCGTGTCCCACAGATCCTGACAACATGACACACATTACTGTAATGTAGTACAGCGACACAGCCAAAATAATAAGCGCTCAAGCAAATGGCCCATTTGGTAGATAGCTTGCAGGTTTGCATGAATTCGCCTAAATTCAATTGGCTGAATCTAAGTATTAGGCCGTTATGTGAATACTCAATAGGCTGAGTTGGGTTACGCCTTTAAATTACTTACATCATAACAGTCACCGACTCCTATATAAGGCACCTACCTCTCCCACGATTGTTCCGTCGTAGTTTTGCCACAGGCCTGTTTCGCTGTTGAGAGCTGGGCTGACCAGCCATTTGTATGAGCGTCGATTCCACAGATCAGTGGAAGCCAGTGCGATCTGTAGTTTTACAATAAGGTCAGCCACATCGCAGCAAAGCATTGGCTTAATTATCGCCGTTAAGTAACTCACACTCTATAACGAAAGAGCATACTCGTATATGATTTACAACCACTTGTGACTCATCGCACCTAATATTCGTGTGATGTTTTTGACAGCCTATCCGTACCCTTGCCCATTGCCCAGATTCTTAACGTCACCGATTTACACCACTAACCGCTGTATCTCGCGAGTCAATCTGTGCCAGAGAGGAGGCCAGCTTCGAGCAGGCCGCGCTGGCACCGGCATGGGTGGCAGTCGTTGGTGAGAAGTAGTAGCAGCGACCTCGCAGACGCAGAAACCCGGCAGGACAGTTGGCTGGATCTGCCAAACAGGGACATACACCATCATATCCCTAGAAATGGCGGAGAAGCCATGCCCTCTTGTTTCAGTACCTACCGACACTCTTAGTCTGGCTGCCTTAGATCCAAGTCTCATAACCTGCCGCACCATAAAATGCGGCTTTTATACGCCAAAGTACAGGTCTCGCGGGTTTTAGCGGTAGGTTATGCACTTAGAAAATTTAGTATACATCAGGCTATATCTTCGTTGTCTTAAGCTTTTAACTTTTAAGTGTTATGCGATCGACTTGTTGGATAACAAGCCGGCCATGATCGTGTAAAATGGCTTCATCGTAGATCGATTAGTTTCTGAGATATAACCGGAAAGGTAAAAGTGCAAAACCTACCGCTTAATCTCGCGAGACCTGTAGGTACCTGTCCGGTGGGGTTCCGCTAACATTCGCAGATCGAGTCGAAAGATAACGTAATAAAAAACGCTGAGTTTGCTCATTTTCTTGCATGCACCATAGACGTTGACGTAACATTAAAAAAGGCCATAACCTTCCTCTCGCATCATTGTCACCGTAGGTAGTACCTGACGAGTGGAGACACATGTAGCCATCCGCCTGGTCCGCGGTGCACGACCCGTCCGCCATCTCGTTAGTTTCCGTGTGCAGGGTGGTGCAGCCGAGGGTCGCTGACGCGCCCATTCCAGTGTCCCAGGGCAGCAGTGTTGGTGCCAGTCCGTCCGGGGAGGTGAACATGTTGTTCTGCAGGGGCACAATGCGATCTGTTATTCATACCAGCTTCTGGTAGGTAAATACTTAGGTACTAGCAGAAATAATTCGTTGATCTGGAGATATTTGAAATTGTAATATCAATTAAGTATATCAATATTTTCTCTCGATTTAAGTGTATATATTGTTAGTGATGTATATTTTAGTTACCACAATTTATTTAAGTTGACATCATGACTTTGGCGCATTCCGCTGGAATTTTTAGGGTTGTGAAATGGTTTGCAACGACACCGGGATTTTGCCTCTCGGAATGCACGGTCTGTATGCAGCAAATGGATATACAACTTTTTTGTGCATTTATTCCACATATACATTTATTCCACATTTTGTGCATTTATTCCACGTATACATTTTTACCGCTTAAAAAAGTCGCCGTTACCGACCTCGGAGAGGTCGCTGATGCCCGTCCAGAGCCTCTTGTTGTCGTCTCCGCGCCACTGCAGAAGGTTGGTGAGAAAACTCTCCTCCCTGAACTCTGCCAGCGCTCCTCCGACGGCTGCGCACCGCTTCTGCGCGTCCCTCTGGGACGTGCTGTGTCGATCCATGAAGTAGAGACACTCCGACGTCTGGCCGAAAGAGATGTACCCGGGCGGGCACAACGCTCCTGAAAAGGGGTTGTAGATCGCTAAATGATGCAAAATGATATCGTACGTTTTTTGGATTTTAATCACCCAACCCTTATAAAGCCAAACGTTCGGCCTGAAGACAGAAGCTTCGCAAATATTTGTGGATCATGACATAACGATTTTGTGTTTTACGTCTACAGTTATGCCTTACTGGGTTTGTGTAAGCAGATGAAGTGGTTCTCTTGGTCGCAGTCTGCCAGCACTAGCTGGCCGTCGGCCGCCATCTTGAGACAGGTGCCGGGGCTGTCACTGTCTGAGAGGGGACCTCTGCCGTCTGTCTCAGAGAAGAGCAGGAAGAAAGGCGACCCGTTGTCGGACGTGAATCGGTAGTCTCCCGGGTACTGCAACGGTAAAAATGACCACGAGTGAAAGCGACGTTGTGTGGGATAGGAGTGATGAAAAACTAAATAAAAAACTGTTCCATGTGATGCACAGAAAAAGAATATGCCAGGGACATGAATAAATCACAATTGGCATCAGGGGCGGCGCCACGGGTTTTCGATAGGGGGGGACGGGGACTGTAGCTGTCCGAAAATCCCAAAAGTAGATACTGATCGTGTATGCAAAAAAAGAAAAAACGAGGCACGTAACGCCGCGAAACTTGGCAAAGCCCAAAACACATCGAATGGTGCATCCCGTTTCCAAACTTATCCTAGGACACCTAAGATCGATCACCTTTTCAAGCATCCTTGCCTCTAAATCAAAATTTGCAGTCTTGCCAACTCAAAGCTGGTTTCCTACAAGCTGCGAATTGCTTAGTGATACTGGCCGCGTGGCCGAGTGGATTGGGTGTCCGGCTGGAAATCCGGAGGCGGGAAGTTCGCGACCGGCCGGTCAGTGTCGAGTAGCAGTGCCAACTATTCTTACGTTTCGTACTTTCAAATTTTCGATCTTACGTCTGGTCAGCTTCATGGCTTCACCATCATATAGTCATGGAGGAAAAGTGGGAATGTCTTCTGCTCTGACAAGTGCGCCAAAACTGCAATATAATTTCAGAATCATGACATCACCACCTGATCCATATGCAACGGGCAGGGTGCAGCTAATGGCTAGCCGTCAGTGGTCATGTCATTGGCGGTCACTCAAAAGGTCATGCTAGGTCATGGAAGGTCACCAGCCGTTCTTTGATCACACTTTCTGATGGATTTTACTTACCAAGAGCTTCGCGGGAAAAACGAGCGCATGCCGCATGCACCGTTGAAAAAGAATTGAGTGAAAGGGTCTCAGGTCTGGCGGCCTCTGCAGGTGAAATGCCCCAGGGTAGGATTCCGGTCCTTGTTGATTAACTTCGTCAAAAATGGCAGTAGAGCTGTGATGTCGGCACCATTGTGTTCGTCATGATCGAGCTGGCACGACCTGCATCGTTCTCATATTCACCCTCCAATCGTAACAACACAGCAAGGGGATTGGCAAATGGCGGGGCACCCTCTTTGGGAGGTAATGAAGGTCTCTGGAAACTTCATCCCTCATCTCTTTAGCATTAGTGGCTCTCCTTATGGAACAGGTTTCTTGACTGGTCTGTTTCACCCCAGAATTCAAAGACTAGTCAAGGTAAAACCGAGCGCACCACAGTAAGCACAATTTGATAAGCTGGTGTATCTCAGTTTCCATGTATAACCTTTCACGTATCACGTACCTAAAACACTTTCGTGCACTCATGCAAAAGCAACTGCCATGTTTCAACAGCTGGTAATGGCATTTTCACAGCCGCTGACGTAAGAAGGGGAGGGGGGGCTCGATTAGACCCCCAGCCGTTCGGCCGCCGACCGAACTTAGTTTTGCAGAAAAAAAAACGAGTGCTATCGAACCCCTTGACGAGAGGGAGCCGATGCTACCCAATTATAAGGTCTTGGGCTACTGCGTGCTTTTTTGGTCCTGCCTGTGATCTATCCGAACACTTCTCCCCACAAGTGCTGGGGTTAAATGGCATAGATTTCAAATGGCTCCTGCGGTAGAACTGCCATGCTTGAATTTGACTAATTAAGAATGGAAAATATCAATATAGTAACGGAAATCTATGGAATTTCAGTTAACTTGGTTTTGTCGGCATTGGGGTCTGGCAGTGGGGTGGGGAGGTAATAACCCTGCCTGGCGCCCCAAAGGGGGGGGGGGCACGATCCCCGAGGCCCTGCCGATCACCTTATAGGCATCACAGCTCCACACCTTTTGCAGATGGCCAGGACCCCCTGCGATGCATCCCAACAGCAATCTTTATTCAGAACCTGCCTTGATTAACCAACGATGCATTAAATGCGACGGATAACTTTACAATGCATTATTATCAACTATTGAACGGGCCTCGCCGATAGGGGGGTACTGTACCCCCCTAACTTTCGATAGCGGGGGACCTGTCCCTCCCGTCCCCCCCGGTGGCGCCGCCCATGATTGGCATGATGTAAATGTCGAAGGAACGCCCTCACCCTGAAGACGTTGGACATCGCTGGGGTTCACATAAGCCGAGCGCTAGTCTGTCCAATACAGCTTCTGGAAGGTAGGCTGTGCCGCCGCACTCCGATGTGCTGCGGTACAGTCTAACAGGACGGGACTTCATTGCGCCAGCTCGTCCCCGCTTGGTCTGCGCGTCAGGCCCGCTTGATCGGTGTGCTTACAACACCACAGCTACTCACCAGTCACCACCGTTTAAATTTAAAGCGATCAAAAGTTTTCTTGTTACATATCTCGCATCAGTCCTCCCATATAACGTCGGTGCACTTCTAAAACGCAGTGGGTAGGCTTAGTACGTACGAGATAAGCAACTTTATGTATTTAGAGATTAATGAATCTAAACTTAAATTAAATGGAATAATTGCCCAGCGGGCACTCATTCTAACGTTTTTTCTGACTTGGGAGCCCTTAAAGTGAATTTAGACTGGTCGAAAAGCCATGCGATGGGGAGAATGGGGAAATGGTAAAAAAAAAAAAAACATAGAAAGCTATCCCTCTCCACTCTGCCGACTGGCCAGGGAGCCCAATCCCCGGCACCCACCTTCTCCTGCACGCCGATCCAGTGGTCGGTGGGGTGCACCTTAGCCACCAGTTCCCGGACGTCGGCCAGCAGGCCCGGCTCCCTCGGCTCGTACAGCTCAGAGTTCAGACTGCGACAGGACGCCTGCGCCTCGGTGAAGGTGGACGGTCTCTGGGAGCCGTACACGCAGGCGGAGCCGGTGCGAAGGAAACCGGCCGGACAGCCGGAGTCTGGAGGGACGGTGAGGGGAGCGGTTGGGGACTGGTTCATCAGTGTGACGCTGATGCATACTTTCAAACAGGACAATATGTACGATGTTTACAGAGCCATGCAGCACTGGATACAGAAAATAACGTGAAATCACTCGGGGTAATTACGACATGTGGTTCTCTTCAGCATATGGATCAGATGGGACGATTACATGACGCATAGCTATTTTCATCCGCGTAGCCTTTTATTCATGGGTGAATGATCAGCGGAGAAAAATCATTCATCACCACTAACTAATAAATTTGCGTGCAGGTGATGCTCGATCCATTTTCTTTCCCTCTTCTCACACATTTGCAGCCTCTGACGCACTCACCGGCCTTTGCCACACAGATCGCCGCCTTTCCTTCCGCGCAGTCGCTGGCGATTAGTTTGTTAGAGAGGCCGGGCACGCTGAGACAGGAGTGGTCTGGGTCCCTGTTCGTCACGGTAGCGTTGGCCCACTCCGAGAGACGAATGGAGGAGAAGTAGTTGAGGGCTCCCTGGGTCGGCTGCTCGTACTTCCAGTTGAAGTCGCCGTCTGTAAAAATAGCAGACTTTGTGTTTACAGTATGCATACGTTGCGTTGGATCGTTTCGAAGTCATTACGTCTCGTTTTCAGGCAGAATACGGTGCGCTTGAGCATTGCACGTTCTTATGGTATTCACTATTCTTGTGTTGTATATTGTAAATTGAATTACGGTACTTTGTAATCTGCGGCTAATTAAATCTATCAGCGCAAGTAGTTAGTTATTCAATCGTGCTTATTAATGATATCGGTGTGCACATTAACTGAAAACTTACCGCTTCTCACTTGGGCATTGAGCCAGAAAGCCTTAGATGTGAAATCACCGAGGCCGTCAAGTTCCGTCTGAAAAATGGTAGAATAAATAGCTTGACCGCGCACTTTAACAATTTAAAAAACCGGCGTGCTGCTCCTTGCTCGGTGAACGTGTTTACCTAGCTGGATCCATAACGCTGCGTTATCTTAGTGTGAATGTGTTTGTTAACGATAAATCACGTAAAGAAGTTAAATTATATTAAATTAAAGTAATTTATTGAACGAACGTTTAACAAAACACGATTACAGCCATAGATTCACAAGTTGGTATGCTTCCTCAAAAATTAAGAAAAACTAACCAGTGACATTGAGTTAAAAGAAAAACGGAGAAGCAAACAGCAAGTGCTCAGGATAAGTGAGGTTCCCCATCCATTGGAAATAAGCATGCATTGTTTGATATTCCATTACTCGCGAATGTTTTTCTTCTTTTTCTCTGAACTTCTCCCCCCGTTTCAACTAAGAGAGCTGCTGTGTAATTTGCCACTCCACCGAACACGATTATCTCACCTAACTCCACAGGGGATGGATACTACCAAAAAGGGTAGGACTGCCGAGCAGAGTAACACTCACCGGGTCTCTGGCGTAGGCCAGGGTTCGAGTCGATGTCGTGCATGCGGACCTCGCCTGAGATTGAGTGTAGCTGCTCGATATTACGTAGAAACAGGTTGTTCCCCGCTGGGCATAGCCAGTGTCGCAGAACCTTCCATCTCTGACGAAATACGGCCACGGGGGCGCAGCTAGAAAAGGGTGAATGAAGTGGTGAAATGATGATAGCTGATTCGATTTACGGAGAGGGGCGACAATGACATCGTTTACAGGGATGTCTTCGCCTCGACCTATATGTCTCCCCCTAATAAGTGTCATCCTTCTGGCTTTCAAAATGTAGGTATTACCTAACCAAATTAAGCTACTCCTGCAAAACGAACAAAATTAGCACAGACATAAGTCAGACGCCAGTTTGCATTTACGTTTGGTGTGACGCTCCTACCTGACACGACTCCTATCAGGAGAAGCGAGGCGAACTTGGTCAGCCGGCGAGGCGGCCCCGCTCCCCTGAGCCCGGCCATGACCTGGCCCCGACCGAGCCGACGCGAGACAGACGCGACCGTCGGTCCCCGGCCCTCGGACCCCCGGGGCCACCCACACCCGGGCGCCTGGCGACCGATAGAAACGGTCACACGGTCATCGGCGACTTCCGGTCGTCAGCGATACAGTCACGGCTGGAAAACGTGACCGGTGGCGGACTCAATGAATGTCGGGGAAACAGACTGGCTGACGAAATAGATACTTTTTGCTGTCGTTACTTGTATGGTTTGATATGATCACAATTCACAAGGCGTGTAAATTGTGATTCCTTTCAGGTGGATTGCTGTAGACATACGGAACGAATATGCTGGTTAAAATAACCCGTCAAAAATTAAACTGACTCTCGTACCCTTCCATGTCATGTTCGGCGCAGTCAAAATATGCAGAATAGCTGATGGGGCTAAAACGTTCAAACCGATTCTATTTTATTAACTTTGAATTATGATTAACTATAACTATGATTAACGTTCAACTTCAAACCGATTCGATTTTATTAACTATGATTAACCCGCGCATGACTGGGGGGCAGCCCCCTCCCGTTTTTCGGCAATATCTTCTAAATCGTTTCACGGATCAACACGAAACTTTCAGTACCCTCAGCGGCATCAATTTGACACCTTGTGTTAAAATTTCAGCATTCTAGCTACCATAGTTTGGCCGGAAATGACGTCAGAGTGACGTCATGTCGGCCGATTTTGATGCAAAATATTGAACTACGGCAAACGCTCTCAAGAGCTTAGTTTTAAAGCTAGATCCAATTTCTTTGCATCAGTGGACTACAAATACACGTAGCTATCAAACTGCTATCTTGAATTTTCGAAATTTCGAAAATTTCGTAAAATATGTTTTTACAATTCCAAAAATATATTTTTGATTTTTTCAAAAAGTTTTTGATGTTTTGCAAAACCCGGAATATATGTGATAAAACACACACTGATCAACTACTCTAGCAATTTTTAGCCCAATATCTTAAAAAATAGCCAAGTTATTTGCATTATTGTCAAAATTTTACAATTTGGGTAAGGTGCCTAATTAGCGACCCTTTCCGATTTGCGACCTACCTCCCTACAGAAAAACTGGCAGGAGAGAACGGGGTAAAAATGTCGTCAAAAGGTCAGCCATACTTTGGTTATCAAATTGAATTATTTTCCGGTCGTCGATCTTTCTGGTGGGACGTTTCAGGTGAGTTTAAATAAAAATGACGAGTTTCTTATCCAAAACGTGTGTGTTTGGGCCCTCTCTGATGAAAAGCGATGCACATTAGGATGATGCACCTTTTTATTCTGAATCGACATTTCTTTTTCAATTGATTACCGTTTTCCCATAGTGAATCGCTCAACTGTGCACAGCATGGCGGTTAAAAATGTGTCGCAACTCATATTTCCTATTTGCGCCTGACATGGTCGCAAATAGCTCAAGAAGGGAAAGAAAGGGAAAAGAGAGAAATGAAAATGAGGTGTTGCTGAACCTTGCAATGTGTGACAGGGGATGCCAAATGTCGTCACCGACTGCAGGGGTGCCGAATTCAGCGCGGACCTCGAATATCATACGAGATAGCCCGCAAAATTTGGGTTTCCGCCTTCTTTTCGCCTTCGGTGCATCACGTGATCAGTTTTTACTTACGTAAATGTGTTGGATAAACGTTCCTGTTCGAGTGATTGACTGCTTTGCGTATAGGTTACCTTTTTGAGATCATATTTCATCTTTTCAGGCGTCGCATTTTTTGCCATTTTTAATATGGGGAAACCCATAGACTTATTAGCGACCCTCCCCGGTCGCTAATCGGGAAGAGTTCCCTATTAACGTTGGCGTCGCCGGTGCCTGCGTGGTGTGATGAGCCTGAACTGAGGGGCCGGACCTACCCGTCTCTTACCTCGGTATCCGGGAGGATTTGGCGTAGTGCGGCCTCGACCTCCGCCAGCTCCTATTGCGTGTGTTCCAGCTCTCCCTAGCTGAAAGACGCCGGAGTTGACGGAAGGAGACAAAGGAAAAATAAGAAAAAAAAAACGAAAAACATAAGCGGCCGCCGTCTGACGTGTCACTCACGCACTGGAGGCGCCCGGCGGCCGGCTCAGTGTCCTCGCCAGGCCGGGCGGGCCGTATTTGCTTACCCGACCGCTGGCGCTTATCTAGCCTCCTATTGGCGCCCGCACCCTCTGTGGCCGTCTCCCTCATATGCCGGGCATCTCCAGGAAACGGGGGGCCGGTTGCACCTCTAACGCCAAGCGTTAATGTATTTTGCACGGATCTGACGTGAAAAGACCATTAACGTTGGCGTCGCCGGTGCCTGCGTGGTGTGATGAGCCTGAACTGAGGGGCCGGACCTACCCGTCTCTTACCTCGGTATCCGGGAGGATTTGGCGTAGTGCGGCCTCGACCTCCGCCAGCTCCTATTGCGTGTGTTCCAGCTCTCCCTAGCTGAAAGACGCCAAAATTTGCCCAAATGTATGGGCACGATGCCGGCAAGGGGCGGCATGAGGTATGCCATGCGGGCGCGGGGGGATCATAAGTACCCCGGGACTTTTGGGGTGGAATAAACGAGCTCGGTGACGGCCGCTGTGAGGTCACGGGATAGCATTAGCAAGCGTTTAATGCGTCACCAACCGGCCATGCTGGGTAGAAAGTGAGTGGAAACGGGGCGTAGCAGGGGCGCAGCGCTGGATTTCGCGCCCGGTATCGCTGTACAAACTTCCATAGCTCTCTGGGACTGAGCCTGGTCACTGGGATCCCAGAGACACACGGCGCACATGCCAACCGGGCAAACCACTGAGCCGCGAGGGCTGCCAAGGGCGGGTGGGAGGCCGGCGGATAACGGCGTCACCCATGCAAGTGCGGGCAGGGAGGAGAGTGGGCGCCTAGCAAACAAGCGCGCGGTTGGCGGTCGCCGGCGGTGGCTGGCCGCAGTCCGAGCCCGAGGGACGGCGCGGCCTCCGACAGCGGGTTAGGCAGCGGTGGGAACGACATGGCGAACGGGCGGGGCGGTGCGGTCAGCGGCGGCACGACTGATGTGTTAGATGGCAAGGCGGCGTGAGTCGGTGCGTTTTCTAGCGGCGGCATGGCGGCTGTCGCTATAGGACTATGTGCGGTGAGCCGGTCAGTGACAGCGCTCGGCATGGTGTCAGTACATACGTGACGGTCGTACGGTAATTGCGAAACGTTACGGTGCGGCTGTTAGCCGCGGCGTGCGTATACCGCTGCGCTGGGCTCAGGGCTGAGGGCTGTCGGCAGGACATGACAGTAGTATAGGCAACGGGTAAGACGCCCGTGTCGGTCACGGCACGGGTTGTCCGGAGAGGCATGACAGCAGCGGTGGGACATTGTTGAGGCGTGTTCGACAATCGACAGTGTAAGTGGAGTTGTTGGACTGACGTGAGATGGGAGGGACGCCTAGTCAGTTTGGCACAGTTATGGGGCAAAGTCAAGTGAGAACCGTCGTCTTTGAAGTGATCCGGCGAGAAGCGCTGTTAATGTAAATGATAATAGAATATAACTGAAATACAGATGCAACAGATGTGCAATGGTGGATAGGATGCGCCACCTAGGTAGCTTGTGACTGTCTCACAAATCATGTGTCGGGAGGGGTCTTGTTTATCTTTATTGTCTCCCAACATTCAGGTAGACAAAATTATTCCTGGTAGGGACGGATACCTCACAACGATGCGTTCAAGTCCGCCGATTCCTGGAATCAAGCTGGTCACCGGGCGATTTGGCCCGAATTGTCACACCGGCGGTTTCCCGCACTCTAACCAACACAACACGAGGCTGCGCTTGTCCGCGGCGAGCGAACGCGGTACAAGAGCGCTGAGGTGGGGGGGGGGGGGGAGGGCGCTGAGCAAACAGGCGCCTACGAGCAACGGCCCGAGACGAGAGGGTTATCAGGCCGGCCGCGGCGGCGGGCGCGGCGGAACGAGTGCTGTCGGCGGGCGGTCTAGGCGGCGGGTGGGGGACGGCGTGGTACACGGGCCGCCGTCGGCGTCGGACATGACCGTTGCTCTGTCAGCGGCGGAGTGACGTTGACGTGTGACAGGCCTGCGGCTAGAGCGCTGGCATGACGAAGGTTCTGTCGGCGGCGGCATGACAGCCGGGGTGGCTGGGTAGATGATAGGAGTGCTTGTGGTAACGGCGGGATGGTGGCATGTGACAGAGGGGGTGGGCCTGGCGATTGCCGTGGTAGGTGTGCCCGGTGCCGTTGGCGGCGCGGCGGCGCGGCAGCGGTTAAGACGTACGGGGTGGTCCGGGCGGCGGCCGGGATGGGTAGAACTGGAGTGTCAGCATGGCGGCGGTATGTGGGAGACGTGTCGGTCCGGGCGCTTGGGCTAGACATGATCGTGAACGGTCGGAAGCAGCGTGATAGCAGTACCTACGTATATGGCGGACGGACACTCAGTGCGTTAGACATGACAGAAGTGTCAGCGGCGGCGTGGCAGTGGTTCGTGACAGGCGGACAGCCTGTGCGGCGGGGATGATAGATGATTGTCCGCAGCGGCGTGACAGTGCCAGGTTGTCGGCAGCGGCGTGACGGCATCGGCGTGGTAGCGGTATGTGACGGATAGGCAGCTCGTGCGATGAACCTGACAGGTCGGCCGGTGGTGGTGGCTTGACAGCAGCATATGACAGACGCGGTGACCGTGTAACGGGCATGACCGGCAGCAGCGTGACGGCTCGTGACGTAGCGGCGTAGGTGGCAACAAAGGCGTGGTGCGCAGGCGCGCAGCCCCCTGTGCTGAAGATACATTGCCTAACGCAGCGCAAAGGTCCGGCGCCACCTGGGATCGAACCGGGACACCCTGGCGATAGTCCTAACGACACACAAACTGATCCGTCACGCTAACCACCACACAACTATGGGCGCAGCGTTCTGCGACAGATGAGCGCAAAACAACGAACGCTGGTGAGGAGGGCGGCGCTAAGCAAACAGACTTACGGCTGGGGGCCACCGGCCCGATACTGATAGGGTGGCCAGGGGCCGGTCGCGGCGGTGAGCGCGGCGAGACAAGTGCACCAGCTAAGGGGGGGGGGGGACGCTAGTAAACAAACGTTCGGCTGGCGCGGCGGTGGCCGGAGACAGCCCGGTCCCGGTCCAGAGAGGCGCCGCAGTGACTGGCAGGGTGACCAGGGGGATGGGTAGACGGCTCTGACGTCATGGCTGCGTCATGACGTCATGGTGGACGGTCCGCTGTGGCCAGTCCGACCGGCCACAGCGGTCGCTGCTGTGCGGTGACGGAAGGCTGACTTGGGGAAGCAGTGGGCGGAGCTTGGAGGCTGTGTACGGTCCGACCGCACACAGGGCCCGTGAACAGCCCTCAGGCTTAGGTGGAAATGGCAAACGGGAGAGACGGCCGGCGGTGATAGCGGTGGTGAAGAGCGCGGCGGGCATGAGTTTGGTATGACATGAAAGATCAGCTGATCTCGGAAATGTCATAGCTAGTTAGTGTTGTTGTTATAGCGAGTTGTTTTGTCGTCAGTGTAAGAGAGGGACGCGAGTATATGAGCAGGGCGAGCGCGATAGAATGGGCACCGGTGGGAAAGGCAGCGCTAAGCAAACAGACGGGCGGCTAGGGGCCGCGGGCGGCGGCCCGGGATGGGAGGGTGGTCAGGCCGGGGTGCGCGCGGCGGGGCGGAGCTGGTGGGAGGGAGGGCCGCCGGGAGACAAAGACACGGCCGGCGGCCTCAGGCGGTGGCAGGTGACAGTCCGGCTCGGAGAGACAGCGCGGCGGCCGGCGGGGTGGCCGAGCGGCGGTCGGCGGGGCGGCTGGGCGGCGGGGCGGCTGGGCGGCGGGCGGCCGGGCGGCCGGGCGGCGGCCGGCGGGGGGGGGGAGGGGTTGCCGGGCGGCGGCCGGCGGGGCGGCCAGTCGGCGGGCGGGTCGTGGCAAACGGCAGGACAGCCAGCGGAAGCGTCAGGTGTGACGGTGGGCTGTCGGCGGCGGCATGACAGCGGTGACGACGAACGTAGCGGGCGTGACGGTGTAATTGACAGACTAACAGTCCGTGTGACAGAAGAGGTAGTCAGCAGCGGCTTGACCACGTATGACAGACGGGACAGGCCGTGCAACGGGCGAGATAGTTGATTGTCAGCGGCGGCGTGACAGCGTATAAGACGGCACAGTCCAGGCGACTGACGATAGAAGCCAAGCTAGCGGCGGCGTGACGGCCTAATAGCCGACGGGAAATCTCACCGGCGACGGGTGAGATGGGCGTTATAGTAGGGCAGGGCGGACTGGCCGTCCGAGAAACTCTCATGACATAAGCATTGGATGTCAGCTGCGGCGTGACGGCGCGGGACGTGTCGGCGGTAAGACAAGCAAAGGAGCAGTAATCGCCACGTGATCGCCACGGCAGTAATCGACACACAAGTGGAACGTGGACCACTCTGAAATGTTCAACACAACAATACGAGGGGCGGTAGGTACGCCGGCACGGAGCGCCCGCGGGCCTAAGATTGCTGGTAGTGGGGTCGCTCGTGACAGCCTGGACACAATGGGGAGACGCTAGCCAGCAAAGGCGTGACTTACCGGATGCCCTTTCGCGTGTGGAGCGTCCCATCTCCGGGAGATAATCGCAGCGGCTTGAGCGCGCACGCACGAAAAACATAAGCGGCCGCCGTCTGACGTGTCACTCACGCACTGGAGGCGCCCGGCGGCCGGCTCAGTGTCCTCGCCAGGCCGGGCGGGCCGTATTTGCTTACCCGACCGCTGGCGCTTATCTAGCCTCCTATTGGCGCCCGCACCCTCTGTGGCCGTCTCCCTCATATGCCGGGCATCTCCAGGAAACGGGGGGCCGGTTGCACCTCTAACGCCAAGCGTTAATGTATTTTGCACGGATCTGACGTGAAAAGACCATAAGCGTTTTTTGCAATGGTTTGCCAAAATGCTCACTACAAATAAGTTGGTGAATATTGGGGCAGAAAATGACCATATTTTAATAGAAAAATGAACGATCTCTCCGAAAATCAAGCCAGTAATACAGTAGCACCCTCAGAGCGTGAGCAATGACGGTTCAAATTAAGGGGGTCGCTAATTAGGCACCTTACCCTATATATTTTTCAAAACCATTTTTCAGTACGTTTTTGACATCGTAAAGCAATATAAATGGCACCATCGTGTTCCTGAGCTCAAACACTGCCTCTGAGAGGCACCTTTTTTGCTGAAAAAAAAAAAAATTCAAAAGTTGACCTTTTCTGACCTGAAATTGACCAGACCTCCGGTAAATTCAGCTGAAAATGACCTCAAATGACCCAGACGACATTATTTTTGAAATGTACGTGTAAAATGGACCATATGCGTCACGTGACCGATACATGATATACGATTTTCGTGACCTAGGATGACCTGGCCTTGACCTGAAAAATTCGAAGTAAAAGTTCGGTACCCTCAGGGTATCTAAGGCATATATCAAGGAGTGCGTGAACCAAAAAATAGCCTGACGACTTGTCAGTCGGCGGCCAGAGCCTAAATTGTAAACAAGCAAAAATGCCGATAATTTTTACTTTGACCTGACCCGTGACGTCATCAGTGACCTCGAGGTCAATGAAAATAGGTTTCGCTCGACAGTTTTTCCAGGGCTATCAGATGCCGTTTTAATTTTGACGATCGGCCCAGTAGTTTCGGAAATAGGAGGGGGCTCTGGAGAGCCCCATCAGTCACTCGCGTTATGGAAAATACCCCAGTCATGCGCGGGTTAACTATGAAATGTATTGCAAAATACATAATGTGCAGTTCCACCAGCACATGTGCTCATGCACTGTAATATATTGCCGGTTTTTATGTATACTTTTACTTACATCTATGCGTAACTCACCGTTCCGTCATTTCCATCCTCAGGAGGACAGTCAAATCCTTCTCCACGCCTCCCCCTGATCCGGGCTGGATGGTCACCTTTATCCAACGTGAGTCGCATACGTACTCCTCGAAGCAGGCTCACACGCGGTGGGGTAACCGTTTGCGAGCTAATTGGCCTGTCGACTGTTGGCTAGGTCTCAGCGACGCAGCAGGGTGCCTGCCCAGAAATGTCTTCCCCTAATTCCTATCATGCTTCCGACTCTAAAAAGGTCTCATCAGACCGAAACAGCCCATTGGCTAACAGCACAAAACAAACAAAAGCAAACCTATGCATACATGAAACAGCAGCTTTATGCCATGCTGATGAAGATTTGTAATATTCGAAGCGCGTCCATGCACGTTCCGTGTTTTTCTACTTGTTTCTATCAATACAAATAAATGTATTCAATGTGAGCTCATGTTCGTAAAATATAAATAACTCTTCAAAAATATCACAGCGTGTAGGTACGTATACGGTATAATGTAGGATCCCAAAGCGCGCATTAAGTGTAACAAATGACACATAATTCATTCACAGGTCGCGACTTTTTAGCATTTACAAATTTAGGTACTCAACAGAAATGTATAAGATCCAAACTGTAGCCATTCTCAATTCACGATATTTCTTCATGGCACCCGTAGAGCAAATGCGTATTTTTCGGTGTGCTGAATAATTCGTGGCTTCATTTTTACGGTTTCGAAAATCTAATTATCTCGCCTACCGCAAATTTCTCACGTGTCGTCTACTCAAAACGCCTATTAGTGAGCTTGTAAAACACATCACAATATTAGTTATCATCGGTCGTTGCCGCCTGTCATTAGCAGCCTCTGCCCGTCTAGGAGTGACTGTAAGAAACCTATTTGTCGACTGTTTCTCATGTCAAGGAAAGACATCCACCTGGACATCAGAAGGCTAATTACACTACCTAATACGATTGATGACTGCAGACTACCTATAATTACAGGAGCCACTCATTACTGAGCATTAGTCATCGTGCCGTACAAAATCACTGTTGATAACCATTAACTCCTGGCATCAACACAGCGTTCTGATCGAACGGTCTGGACCTCGCTTTATTCATGAATGATGCTATGCCACTGAAGTATATCTCACTGCCATAGTGACCCGGCAATTTACACCGGTAATGACCCGACGAGCAGACGGTGTTTTTGCCCCGTCACTTTGCGGTGACATCGACGATCGTTCACGGGCATTTCTGCAGTGTTTCCGGTGATCACTGATGGGCGGAGGCCGGTTCGGCGCCCCTCCTGTCTGCATTATTAACCGACACGGGCGCGGCCGAAGGAACAGGCCGTGGGAAGGTTGAGGTATCGCCACCAGCTGTTCTTGGAGCTGACGGGCGAGACAACAGCCACCGAGCTGTCAACCTAATGTCTGGCGATACTCGGAACTGCACACGTGGGCGATTTCTATGTGGTTGGTATGAAGTCCACACCAACTTATATGTTTTATCTCTCATTTGTACTCTTCCTAGGCACATTGCACATGTCAAGTTGAAAATTGAGAATATGTTTACCATAAACCTAGGACCAAAATGATCAGTCAGTCGCATTCTAAAATCACCTCATTGAAGGTAAGAATGGTGTGACAATTAGGCGTTGTACCGAGCGATCGCCGATCACCATACTTTACGATTTAATGACTACTTAGATGAGTAAGACCGTTTCTGCCGCTATTTATGCAGTTTTTCCATAACTATCCCGCTAATGGTCGAGCAATACAAGCGCCAGGCGTTTTCTAAAAAGTGTATTCTTGACTCATAAGTGATTGGATAACACTGCAAACTCCACAACAGGTAAAACTACCGCCTGATCCATTGGACCAGGCGCGTTTTCGAGCTCTTTGATCACAGAACGGTATGGCGTCGCCGCTCACAGCTTCCATTGCCCGTCGGCACAGTCCACTCCCTAATAGTTCTTAACACTTTCTTCACTAACTGGACAAGAAAGGCCGCACACCACAGCAAACAGCACAATCACAGTCTCAATTCCAGCAGGCAGCATTAGTGTTAAGTGTTAACCCGTCTCCAATGGCGCTAACTAACCGTTTAGTGGAATGCATAGAAGAAATGGAACGGAATATGTGTGGTTATTCATCGATATGACAACAAGAAGCAAAACAGGTTGCTGAGAAGTAGGCATTTCACGCGATGACTGCATTCGTTGGCTACAAACTTCAATGCAAAACAATCTGACTTATTCAGACATACAGGACTGACCTCCAGATATCCATCTGAACAGAAATATGACACCCGAGATAAGCAACGGAATTTATATGCACATCCGCATTGGAGCACATTGAAAGTTAAAGATACGCCCAGCAACACATGTACCGAAACTCCAACCAAAAACGCTATGAACTTCTTACAAAAGAGCTGGAACGGAAACGAAGCAGGGAAACCAACCTTCCTCTTTTAAGGAAACAAAATAATCAATGCCGGAAAACGATGACACTGAGGACGAAAACAATGGCGCTGATCAGCGACGTCTCACAATTTGTCAGATTAAACCAATGACAGGACCTCTTCTTTTCACCCGATGTCAACCGCCTTCACAACAGAGACCCAAGGCACGACTATCGATCCAGGCTTCATCCAGCCTCCAATGAGCTGTAGTCCCACTATAGTTACAGCCGGTCGTGATCCTCTTGGTCCAAGCACCGCATCGCCCACCGCTCTCTCCTCTCTATTCTCAGTTGTGATCCTCCCACTGACCCGGGCTCTGCTCCTCTCTCCCAGTTGTGGCCCTCCCAGTCGCCCTCGCTCCTCCTTTCCTCTTTCAGCTGTGGTACTCCCAGCCGTCCGCCACTCCCTCCCCTCTCTCCTCTCAATAGTGGCCCTCCCAGTCGCTCTCTTTCTCATCTTCTCTCTAAGTTCTCAGTTGTGGTCATCCCAATCGCGATCTCCTTCTCTCTACTCCCCTCCTCTCTCAGTTGCGGTCCTCCCTGTCAGTCACCGCTCTCTACTTCTCTCCTCTCCTTTCAGTTGTGATCCTCCCAGTGACCGACCTCCCAGTCGTCGGTCTGACACGCCTTGCCGCAGTAGGCGCGCGGGCTGGACACCTCATCAGCCACACAGAGAGAGCACAGCTCGAACGCGCCGGGCGTCCGCTCCCGGCGCTCGCAGAAGCTGCACGAGCGCAGCGCCGCCGCGTCTGCCTCGTCCGGCTCCTCGGAGTCGGAGCTCGACTCGGGTGTGGGGGACTCGGCCACGGGCACTCCGCGCTCGGTGAGGACAGAGGTCAGCTTGGCCAGGCAGGTCTCCACCACCGACATGTCCGAACCTGTCCGGGCAGGGCGGGGGGGGGGGGGGCGTCAGTGGGGAGAACGTGACACGACAGAGCACACGAAAATACTCAACGTTCCTGCGGGAAGTAGTTATCAGAAAAGAGCTACCGAATAAACCACCAAAACAAGGATAAAAATCGTTTTCCAGATACTACGAAGGGTTCGAAAACAATATGTCTTAAAGGAAAAACACTTTACAACTCAGCTCAAAGTCCAAAAGGGCAAAACACATCCTCAACTCCCGGCCGACTCACCGGCGATGGGCCTGGCCTTTTTGGCGGCTCGTTTCCTGGAGCGTTTGCTGGCGGGCGGCGGTGCCACGGCTCCCTGCACACAGCTCACCAGCTGTAGGGCGGCGTCCCGCAGCGGTCCCTCTGGCAGCTGCTGGACGCCGTCCGACAGCCGGCCGGCGCGCCGGCCCACCCGCTCCAGCTGCGCCGGCTCCAGCGGCTCCTGGGAGGCACAGGGACAACACGGGTTAGATGTCATCATAGGGAACAGCCAGAGGTGAGAAACGATCACAGGTGGAGCTAGAGGATAGACACGGTTACACATCTTATTACCAGGCAAGATACCATAGCTCAGCTGCTAATGTCGCAATTCATTTGAGGCAAGGTTATATCGCAAGGGGTACTGGAGATTAAATAAGGTCACAGGGTCACATAGGGACACCAGAGGCGATACGATGACACAGCACATCACAAGTCGATAACGTCACAGGGCCCGCTCATGGCAGTCACATGAGTCTCCACACTAGGTCATGAAGTCAGTCTTCCGCCCCGAAAAGTCATAAATGGCTCATTGGGGTGAGAGGTCAAATTGGGGTGAAAGGTGAGGATCAGCTCTGGAGCATAAATGATATTGGCAGTTCTTAGGATATGAAAAACACACAACGAAACAGAATATACCAGCTGTCAGTATAGCTAACAATTATTATCGTAGGTGCACCATCCGTCACACAACGCCGCCTCAAAATTCGTCCGCGGCGCAGTGCCCACCTCCGGTATATCCCTGAGGTGGTCGGCAGAGAGCAGCAGGTTCTCCAGCTCGCGGCTCAGACGCTCCATGGCCGTCACTGCCGGGTCGGCCGGCTTCCCCTGCGGAACGGACATATCACAGTGTGGGAACTGACGGCCATAGACGCAGGGACGGCGCGGGGAGTAAAATTAGGTGCAATGGACAGTTATAGAATATACGGGGTCCGCCGGCTTCCCCTGCGGAACGGACAGATCACAGTGTGGGAACTGACGGCCATAGACGCAGGGATGACGCCGGTAGCAAAATTAGGTGCAATGGACAGCTATAGAATAGAATATGCAGGGTCGCCCGGCTTCCCCTGCGGAACGGACGTAGAAAGTATGAAGGACTGATGACCATAGATGTAAGTCGCAGGGACGGCGCGGGACGTAAAATTAGGTGCAATGGACAGTTATAGAATATGCAGGGTCGGCCGGCTTCCCCTGCGGAACGGACAGATCATAGTGTGGAAACTGACGGCCATAGACGCAGGGACGACGCCGGGAGTAAAATTAGGTGCAATGGACTGTTATACTAGTAGAATATACGGGTTGGCCGGCGGGTTCGCCCGGCTTCCCCTGCGGAACGGACAGATCACGGTATGGAAACAGACAGCCAGTCTCAGGAGCGGCGCGGGGTACAAATAAGGGAGCCTCTGCGTCCGAGCCAAATAGCTATGATGAATAATGGGATAGCTAAATGCGTGAAATCGGGGATTTTGGATAACTTCGAATGCCCTTAAAAACCCTATGTAGGTAAATAAAACAAATTTAATTAGACTCAAATTGGTGCTCACGACGCGTGTCACCCTGAGTGACGTCCCCTATGCAGTGTCTCACAATTCATGACTGATTTGGCGCCAGTAATTACCATCATTAACTACAACGACCGGAAACAGGGTGTTTGCCAGGACGTGTAAAAAACAACCGAGGTGCAAAAAAGACGATAATGTGTGAAAAAACGCGGGCGGGCTACAGTGGAGGTCAAACAGATATTTATACAGTACAAATGTTATTGGATTGACTAAGACTTGCTACAAGAATTGTATGGTGCCCACAACACAGGAAAGAGGTACAGTCCACAGCAGAAGTAATGTGGGGTTTCAGTCATGGGTATGTTTTGCTTCTGAAGCTTAGGAACGATTAGCCAGACTACAATGAAACTTTGAATGTAGCTTATATGTATCGTCACCCTTGCAGCTGCAACTTTAGCTATTGACATCTTCTTTTCGATCACTCCGCATTAACCCTATTAGTGGCAGGCTCCTGGCCCCCCTGCCCCCCTGCCACTATTAGTGGCAGGGGGGCTGTTTACGACCCCCCTTGATATCTCGAGATCTAACGGGCCGATTTTCAAAATTCAAACGGCATTCGATTTCGCTTAACGTGATCTACATTTCTAAAAAATAAAAATTAAAAAATGTCAATAGGGGGGGGGGGTAGAGGGGGGTAAAAACGGACATATTGCAGATACATTTTAGACTGTTTATCACGGCCAGGTTTCTGAACCAATCTTAACGCAACTTTTGCCGATCGATAGAGAATGAACCAGGAATTCACATGGATCCTAAAAACATGCATTTTCAAAAATCATAGGCGGATACAGATCATTGAGATTGGGGGTACACAAAAAGTATAGTAAATAAGGTTTTTGTTGGTACTGTTTTTAAAAAGGGTGGCAATGGTCTTGTTATGTAACAATTTTCTTATGAGAAAACGACTACAATTGTATTGGTCATGCATAGGCGGTGTCAGGGCACCTATGTTGGGAGGTAAAACATAACCCCCCCTTTTTGGACGCCTGGATCCGCCTATTATAGCAAAAACGTGTCAAAAGAGGATGCACAATAACTTTGTATACGTTATCACATGATACCTTTCATTCAATGTTCGTAAAACTGGTGTATACAGTTATTACGGAGCGAGCGAAGCGAGCGGAGTCTTACGTAGAATAACGGAAATTTCTGAGTATGAGCGGCCGGCCGGCCGGCCGGCCGTGGGGACGCTCTTCAAAAGCTAATATCTTAGGAACGGGACATCCGATTGACAAGCGGTCTTCTTTACTGAATGTCACTTGGACGTAAAAGTTCTGTGGTGTGATGGCCACCATGCGTTCTTGCCAACCACCGCACGTGGCGCGTGGTAAAGTTGGACATTTTTTAAGAACCCCCAAAATTGCAACCTCAATAACGGCACAACGGCTGGGCCGATTGAATTGAAACTCGGTACACAGTTAGGTCTCCATCAGATAATTCATCTGCATGTGTTAGGGTTGGGGTGCTGCTGCACGTGCGCACGTGCAGGGGTCGTTTCCAGATCTCGAGAACGGCTGGACCGATGGCGCTCAAATTTGGTACACGGTTAGGGACCAGTTAGTAGGGTGCCGTGCACAAGTCAGTTGGGACCCATTTTGCACGTGCGCACGTGCAGGGTGCCGCTTCCAGATCTCGAGAACGGCTGGGCCGATTGTGCTCAAATTTGGCACATCGCTAGAGACCGGTTAGTAGGGTGCCGTGCACAAGTCAGTTGGAGGTACCCCCTCGAAATTTCGCACGTGCAAGGCCCACCCTCTCGCTCGCTCCGTTAGTCGCCCCATAAGGCGTTATACTGGTAATACATCAGCATCGTGATCTTCGCCCCAAATGACTCGCTTCACGAATAGGACCCCCCATTCCCAGTGCTCTGGAGCCGCCCCTGGTAAAGGTATGAACTTGAAATTTTCAGGGAATGTGCCCAATTTAGTTTTAGGAAAAGTCAGAAAATTTCAGCATCGTAGCTTCAGCGGTTTCGGAGATATTCCCGAAAAACCTGAGGGGTGGATAAAAACACCCCCCCCCCCCTGCCACTAATAGGGTTAAACAATGATCGCCAGCCAAAGCCAACCGTTGAGATTGGTAAAACCCTACATTACTTTAGCGGTGGGCTGTACCTTTCGCCGATGAAGTAGGACAACAGGGAGTCATTCTACCGAATTCACGATTTAGAAAAGAAAAAGCAGACCGATAATCGACGTCAACATTCGGCAATCAGCACTCATGTCCAGAACGACACATCTTAAAACCTGTCATCATCCCGATCGACCAGAAAAGAGCCCGACTTTTGTCAATTTCACTTGCGATTCTTCTCAACCCACTTACTCAATTAGTCAGTATAAAGCAGTCACTCAAACATCATGCATGACCCTGCCCCTGGCCCACCCTGACGTTATCTCCAAGCAATCCCCAGTTCTCGTTCGCCTTGAAAACCGACACCAGACACCGTAAGCCATTCATCTCACCTCCAACCCCGTAAGTACCCACCTGTACAGTCTCCATGGGCGGGCCGGAGGCGCCACCGGCGGCCGGACCACCCGAGCGGCTGGCACCCCGCCGCACCTTCACAATATTCGCCGCCGCCCACTTCATGACCTCGCTCTGGGTACCGTCCTGAGAAGTGGCCCTGCTCGCCGCCGGGATGCCGCCAATCTGGGTGGATATGCTGGACGCCGGACTCCCGTCGCCCTTGGCGTCTTTGTCGGTTTCTGGCGTTGTCTTCGAGTTGCCGTCGGTTAGCACTGTCGGCTCGGAGTCTGTGCCGTATGGTGGCCACTTGCCATAGGGAAACACTGGCTCGGGTTTGGAGGCCGACGCCGGATTCGCTGGGAAAGACGAGAACACCACGAATTAATCAGAGGTTCAAACGAGCACCAAAAAAAGACACACACACATAAAACATGAACACATCGGCCTGTCTGCAAGAGCTCCGCCGACCATGTAATTCAAAGGTAACTAAACGTAAAACTTACATGGTTTCACGAAGAATCGTCGATCGGGGAAAACATGACCATTGTGGCTCAGGTAGAAGGCCGTCTTCATTGCCGCGTGGTAATTGAGCACGTGCTCCGTCAGCTCCACCATGTGGTCGGCGAATTTCATCGAGTTCACCTCCAGACCGGTGGTAAACATTCCCGCGCCGCTCATGTCCTGAGAAGGCACAGGGTGGGACAGGCGGCACACGTCAGCGGCAGCTGTTCCAGTCCAGCGAATCAGCAGCCCAGTCAGTAACAGTGTGTGAGTTTGTCTGTGTGCCTCTCCCTCCCTTCTTCTGGCCTGTCCGGTCAGTACATCTGTCTGTCACTCAATTTTTCCTTCCATTACTCTTTCGCTCCCTGCCTCCCTTACATCATACACCCTCACTCTAACTCACTCACTCACTCACTGACTCACTGACTCACTCACTCACTCCTCCCTCTCTCCCTCCCTTCCCTCCACTCTCACCTCCGGTCCATCAAAGGTGGGCAGATCGGGCAGCTGCTCAGCGGCGCAGTCCAGCTGATAGTCCAGCTGCACCAGAGTCGAATCCAGCAGGTGCGGCCGAGGCGTCGACAGCAGCACGCGACGGACCTGGTGCAGGCGCACTAACCATTCGTCCGGTATCTTCCAAACGTCGGTCATACTGCACGCTGCAACTGCTCGACCGAGAGAGGGGGGCGGGGTTAGAGCTGCCGCGCGTCAGACGCGCCCAGAGCAGGGTGGGATGCACACGTGTGACAGGGGACAGTGTGATGGGGATCACATGTGCTGCAGCAAGTAAGAGATGACCAGTACGATTCAACAATTGCAAAATGTATCGCGTGCACCACACAGCAATTAGGCAGATAAAATACTCATATGTTCATTATTACTGAAACTTGTCACCATTAAACACTCTTCATTATCATTTCAGGGCATTATTTTGTGATATACCTCACAAATTCCACCATCTGAAGACACCACAAACCCTCACCCGCCCTCGCTCGCACCTCCCCCTCCCCCCAGACCCTTGGCGCCGCTAGCCATCGTGACTCACTGCTAGCGATGGTCGGCATCGCGATGAACTGCGGTGTGCAGGTCTTCTCTCCGGCGTGGGTGATGACGGCGTTCAGGCTGGCGGCGTCTCGGCGCAGGTGGGCCGTCACGGCCAGTTGGAGGGGCACGGCGTGCGCCGGACGCAGCGCCAGGAACTCGATCAGACTGCCACCGCGCAGCGCGTTCGAGTAGGCCTTGAGGGCGCGGTTGGTGACCTCCGTCAGTTGCTCGGAGGGGGCCGTGTACTGGCGGAGACAGCAACAGTCAGGTCAGAGGGAGAGGCTCGGCACCGGTCAGAGGGGAGAGGTCAGGTACACAGAGCGAAAATGGTGTACACTGTAAAGGAACCAGCTCATGTCCGAGATTGAAAATAGTGAGAGACTCGGCGATCAGTTAAAGCGAAGGTTCAAGCATACACCAGTCGTAATAACATAGGTAATACCAGTATAACGCCTTTTGGGGGCGATTAACGGAGCGAGCGAGAGGGTGGGCCTTGCACGTGCGAAATTGCGAGGGGGTACCTCCAACTGAGTTGTACAAGCACGGCACCCTACTAACCGGTCTCTAGCGATGTGCCAAATTTGAGCACAATCGGCTCAGCCGTTCTCGAGATCTGGAAGCGGCACCCTGCACGTGCGCACGTGCAAAATGGGTCCCAACTGAATTGTGCACGGCACCCTACTAACTGCTCCGTAACCGTGTACCAAATTTGAGCGCAATCGGTTCAGCCGTTCTCGAGATCTGGAATCGACCCCCAAACTCTGGCAGCACCCCAACTCTGGCACATGGATATGCATTGCCTAGTGGGTGCCTACCTACATGCCAACTTTCAGCGCAATCGGCCAAGTAGTTATCGAGATATTGCAACTATTACAAAAGTGACACCTCTTCGTTTTGCACGTGGCACGTGCATAAGGGGTCACCCACATGCATCGGGAATAGTCCAATACTTGGTAGAAGGAATGAAGCTACCCTACAAAAAGTACCGCATGTAAATCGGTCAAGTGGTTGCTGAGATATAAGCGTCGCAGAATCGTGACCACGGCCGGCCGCTCATACTCAGAAATTTCCGTTATTCTACGTAAGATTCCGCTCGCTTCGCTCGCTTCGTAACTATCGCACAGCTTCCTTTACTACCTCACCCCACCCTGGACACCTACCGGCTCCAGTATGTCCGCCGCCGACTCGACCATTCCCTTGACGAGTCCCAGCCAACCGTAGATGTCGAGCGCCAGTGCCACCTGCGGGTCCAGTTCAGAGACGTCCACCAGGTGGCGCGACTGCTTGCCGTCCCGGTAGGCGATGAAGGGTTTCAGCAGGAGCACGGCGCCCGTCTCCATCCGCTCCAGCAGTTCCAGAGGAGCCGGGTGGACCTGCCGACCGGACCCAGTGTCACGGCAGGGTCACGGAAGAGTCACGGAAGGACGGCACTAACGGAACACGACCGCACAGTGACGTTACTGTACGGTAATGATTTTTTTATTCGTTTATTTCATTTCATTTACTCACCCTATCAGCCATGGGACACGTCCATTTACGGCCAAAGTCACAGCACATTAAAAATACAGTCTTGATAAAATTAGCTCTATGTATTGCTAAAGTACAAAATAAAATAAACAAATGTGAGCGCTGGGCATGAGTCATTGCTCGATGAAGGCCGCACGGTGATGGAAGATCAGTTGTCATGGGACTCGCATCAACACGGATTGGCCGGGCTCAGCGGATCGAATAGTGATTTATGACAGGTAATTGGGGTAGGTACCATTTTTAACTGAGCTGACAAACACGTACTCGACAGGGTTGGCATGTGATCGGCCCTAATTATAGTAAATAAATCTCGCGCGCAAATGACACCCAGTTGACATGAATGGACCGAGGTGAGCAATTGTTTGGCAGATACTCCCGCATGTCCTGATCCCATCAGATCCACATCATATGTCTTTCATGCACATAAACAAATGATTTTACCCACACACCCTCATTGAATATGCATATCCCGTGTTACACTTTTCCCATCTGTCAATAACCGTTACCGCATACCAATGAAATTAAGATGTTTCATTACAACGGTATTTAAAATAGAGAACAAATGGTATTTTTCTAACAATCACGGCCCGAGTCTTTTTCAAACCATCTAACTGAAATAGTCATTCTCTCACCTCATCCGCGACCCTCTCTCTCCCTCCCTCACCCCCTCACAGCCCATGATCTCACCTCGCAGCCCTTTTCCACGATGGGCGGCAGGCGGGTGCGGACCAGGACGAGCACGTCCATCAGCCGCTTCATCATGTCCAGGTGCATGTCGCACGCCTGGCTGAAGCTGACGGTGCGGCACAGCTGGCGGATGGGCGGGGTGGCGGATGGGAGGTCACGGCACGGGCAGAGATAGGGCAGATGGGAGGGACTCGCAGTATAACAGGCCACCCAACACATAATGGACCAATTATGAAACGTCCCTTTACCGCTAAACCGCTATACCTCCGCCAGAAATTTAGACGCGCAGTGCTCCTTTCACTAGCTTCTTTCTAAACAAGCGACCTCTCAGGGGAGGGGAAGAAGAAGCCCCTCGCCCGTTCTCTCACCGTGCTGTCGGGTTTGAGCAGGGCGTCCGCCTTCATCCAGGATCGGTCGAAACGCAGCATCCGGCCCGATCCAACTTTGGAGCGCTGCCTGCAGGAGCAGAGGGCACAGAGTGTTAGGACCCTGCACCTGCTTAAAGGTAGTGTGCCACCTTTGAAAGATTTCCCATTTTATTTTTCCTAGGATAAGAAGCTTCTGTTTTTACCTAATATCGCAAAAAAATCAAAAATGGGCCTGGAATAGTGCCTTTTTCGCCTAAAAGTTTTTCGGTTTTTAGATATGTATAACAACTGTAGTGGGCTCACCTGCAAACAGGCGTCGGGCAACAATCGCGAATGCGGCGCACTTGTGACAATAAGCAAAGGTCATTATAGTGTTACGACCATACGACGTGCGGGAATGAGTTATCAGCTGTCTAATCGTAGACAACACAATGTCGAGCCTTAAACTGTAATCCCGTATTGGTATTGTTTCTTTTATTTGGCTGTCGAACATTATTTATGGTTTGAAATATGATTTTATGTAAAATAATTGATATGAAAAAGCCGTCTTATAAGTTATGACCCCATTTCACCATACGCAAGTGGCAGAAATGACAATGATCAGCTGACGCATTTTTCTTGGCCGAAGTCAGAGCGCGCGGCCCGACGCACCACGCGTATTTGGAAATTCCGACCTCGACGAGCATCAGAAGCCACCTAACAGGCGTGTTCGAAACCGCAGGAGATGATGATGAACGGGTTTATCGAAACTTGATTGGATGAGCATATCGGTAATAGCGATTTCAGTGTGTGCATTTATTGTTCATAGTGGTGTGAAATGTGGTTGGGGTACGACCGACAACCCGTCGGGGCGAATTTCGCTCTGGGGTACTCAAAATTTGAAGAATTTAAGACGTTTCCATGAGTTTTGAAGGTATGGATAAGTTCTAAAAATCCGGTTCTCCTTATCTGGGCCATTAACTCCATACGGTCCAAGAAAGCTGGCACACTACCTTTAACTACGACACTAGTTATTCCAGTGACTGATGCCATAAGACAATGATAGTCCTCCTTCCGTTAAACAATGATGCCAAACGGCATCAAGGCAGCCGCGCCCATTATCGAATCAATAAGAAAAGCTGCTCATCATAGAACATAAGACAAAAACAAATGTTCCATCAAGTTTAGCAGTTTCGGAAAGGAGAACGGTGGTCGCCACCACAAGATATCGCATCTAAAATCTCCCATACGACAGGAAATGAAAAAAGTTACACCGCAGGCTATAACCCTGAGGCATAATTCCTTCCAATCCTATCGGTTATATCCCTCCTTGCCCCTCCACACCCAGCCGAGCCCAGTGGTGCGCGCCCGGCTCACTTGTACAGGCTGGTCAGGTTGGTCTCCAGCCAGGCGCGGCAGCCGGCGAGCACGACATTGTGCTGGGCGTAGCGGGGGTCGGTGGCCGGCCGGCCGCGGAACACGCGATCCACGCTCAGCAGGTAGGGCAGCCAGCACTCGCGCAGCACGTTCACCATCGAGGCGTGGATGCTGATGACGCCCGGCTCGGTGCAGCCCTGCAGCACGTGGATGCCGAACCTGCCGCACACGGTGGCGTGAGCGTCAGACGGGGATGTAGCGCAGTCGGCAGGACACCGGCCGTCCCAAAGCGTCTAATTAAGTGGTGAAATGGGATCAAAAGACACCATCGCCTTTGAAGATGGAATGAGACTACATCATAAATATTTCAAATCGAGTCCAGTATTACCCGGTGCAGATAGAATCCAACATTGTCGTGGCCTATTTCTGGAATAAAAATGTAAGAAAAAAAAACTTAATTTTTGGTTGCGTTTAGGCAGGCTGTCTCCGCGGGCACATCACCCACCTGATATCTCTGAGCGTCTTTAGCACGGAGCACTGCATCTTGCCGGCGTGGTCGTGCGCGCACGCGGCGTCCGTCGCCTCCGGTCCACCCGTCCGCTGGGTGCACGCCTCCTTGGCCATATCGTCGGGCGCGCGGCGTCCTTTGACACTGAGCGTGCGCACGGCGCCGGCCGGGTCGGCCACACAGCGGCGCCAGTCGAGGGTGTCCTGGTTCGCGCCGGTCAGCAGCGCCGGCCAGGTGGGCGTCAGCTGGAGACGCTGCGGCGGCATCGGCGGCAGCGGCCCCTGCGCCATCCACCCGGAGTCGTACTCGACCTCTGCTCGCGGAGAGGGGAGGGCGGTCCGTGGAGGGCATGAGTAGACTCAATGGCGGCCGGAGACTAAACTGAACTCGACCAGCCCAAACTGAGCGACGGTGAGTCACCGAATATTAACCCCACGGGAGGATAATACGGTGCTAATAACAACGATGTAGCAATACGAATACACAATGTAGCCTACACATGAAAGCTAACCGGTCATCAGAAATAGTCAGTTAGCAAAAACAAGAACAGAGCAGGCATCGTCGCCGCTACGTTTAGACGTGTTCACAGTTTGCACCAAATATATGGCAACAGTAAATAGTAAAGACCGTAGGCGTAATCCATTACTAGTAAATCAGTTTACTCACCTTTCGGGGACTGAGGTGCCCATTACCAGTCCCATGAGTGTTCCCCGGTCCCACTGCGTCAGTGCCTCACTGCTCTCAAAAGTGTCCACCTGGCATTTCACCCGATGCCCCCCCCCCCCACCCAACCTCCCATCCTCCACCCCTTCCGCTCAGTTCCTCACCCTCCAGGCGCAGCTCTTTGGCGGCCATCTGCAGCATCGGCTCGTACTCGTGCGGCCGATACGGCATCACTCTGTTCATCATTCTCTCAGAGATCTTCTTGCCGAGCTCGTCACAGGCGATCAGCATCACCTCGCGTATGCTGCCCTCGCGGTGACCCTGCACGGTGGAAGATAGCGTCAGAGCGTGCTGAAGGACGCAGGGGCTGATGGTGCCGCGAGATGGAGAGATAGCACTACATGAAGGTCAGACGAACCCAGCTAATACGCTGTAGTAAAAGAATATAAATAAAATAAGATTGGCGTAGCATTCACCCCCAAAACGCGAGAAGTGGACCGCGGTGCACCCCAGAATATCAACTGCAAAACCTGTACCGTGCCCGGTATTGGTAACAGCTTTGCAATACGTTACTATCCAATGTTTATCTATTTAATCATCAATATGTATCTAATAAATCATCAATGCTTATGTACCAAATCATCAAGCGATAGCAATCCCAATCTTATCAGTCGTACAAAGGTATATCTATCCGACAGAAGGCCGTCAGCTCAGCATGCATTATTCATTACACGAGAGGCCATAAACACAGAGCCTGTAACGGCCTCCCTCCCACCGCGCCAGTGACTCGGCCGGGGAACCCCCTCCGTTCCCCGTCGTCGCCCGCCACCCATCGGTCGTCCTTGGAGCGCGCGATACGGACGGAGCGCAGGAACTAGAGATGCCCTTTTTGAACCCGCAAACCCGCTTTCTGCGGGTTTTCAAAACCCGCAGGGTTTTTGGCGGGTTCGAGAAGCAAAACTTGTCGTGTGGCGGGTATTTGGCGGTCAGACTTTAGAACCTATAATTTTATTTTTATTTTTTTTTAGATGCAAAACACAATGCCAAGTGCATTTGCTCAGGTTAACAATACAATATTCATCAAAACAACTTTTAAAACAGAACCAAATATAAATATTATCAAGGAAGCACATTTCAAATGCAAAACTGAAAACAACCAGCAATAGCATCCACAGTCTAGCAATGACCAAACCAGGGTACAAACAACAAACTACAAAGCATAAATAAATGCTGGTGAAAGCATTCCATAAAACATAAAAGAACCTGAAAGCAAACTTATAGGAAGCTAAACTGAAGTCTATGTGCAGTTTGCACTAGATATACATTATGGAAGAACCCAGACTAAAATGAGATGTTGATGTTGAAAATCAGAGCAAATGCCACATGTTACTTTATTTGCGTCTGGTCGGTATAAAAAAGAGCTAAACAAAATTTGATGCAAATTCATTGATTACCTATCCTACTCTATGTTCTGCCCCACCCTATATTACGAAAATAACACACCAATTACCTGCAATTACCCTTACAAAAAATCAAAATATTGACTGGCATGCGGCCCAAACATAACGCAATACAATACTGGCGCACGACATTCTGACAAGGATTGGCATTTGACTGCGTCAATTTTGGTCTCTGAGGCGAAGGAAAGCTGTCATTGATGACTATTTACTGTCTCTTTATTTCCTAACCGGTGATTAACCTCTGAATTGTAAAACTTTAGCTGTTGTGTAAAACAATATTATCAGAATGGCACATTAATATGCATTATACAACGGTGTTTTCGCAACAAGTTCGCACTAACTACTGCTGCAATAATTTAGTCGCTGTAACATTCCTTGCAATCAGCTGTTGGTGACGCTTTTGACGCATGTTTCCAAAAATGCGTGGTTCATTGGTTAGTTGGTTTTTGCTGGGCTTTTGCATGATTTGTTTTATGTGTAGATCGACCGGATACGCATTATTCACCGTGTCGTCCGTGTCACTATTTATTTTTAACTGGAAATCGCATATCTTTTTATATCAACATTCATTTTGATAACAGTATCATTCCAGAAGCCTAACATTGAGAGGAACCAGAGTGAAATTTTGATCCTCAGCCAATGCTGAAGGGTAAGGTGAGAGAAAGATTTTACTGAATTCTTTTCAGAAAGGAATTTCAAATGTATTGATGCATTATTCGTTTTCCATTATCCAGTGTGCACTTCCTGAGGACTTAGCATAGCAATTTCAAGTCCTTACTATTTGTTTGGCTGTCTTTTTCTGCACAACAATGAAGCAAGTAAAGTTTATATAGCTCTAGCATTGACCCAGCTGTATTTTTCTCTTGCAAAGGCAGGTTTTTTAAAATTGCGGGTTTTTTGCGGGTCCGGCTCAGCCAAAATCAGCTTGCGGGTAGTTGTGGTTGGGCAAGGGGTAGCTGCGGGGCGGGGCGGGTAATGAAATTGCAAATTCGGTGCATCTCTAGCAGGAACCCCCGCGGACACCACTCACCAGCTGACGCATCGAAGACCGCTGGTTGGGCCCGAAATCGCACATCTTCCATATCAGCTGGTTGATGTCGGACGTCATGTAGTCTGACGGCGTAGATATAACCAGTTATTAAGGTCCATTATACAATGATTGCTGGGTAGCATTCGGTTCAGTCTCTGTGATGCGATAAAAATACGTTCACACTCCGGATATTTTTCAGAGTCAATGGAAAAATACAAGAGCACCACGATTAAACATGAATCAAACTGACATTAAAATGTATCCAACACCATCCTAAAAAAAAAAACGGAACAATAGTTCCCAGTATTGCCGATTATCCGCAGCATTTATCAGCCTTACCGTCTGCGGTTCGAACCATCCTCAAAATGTCCATAAATATCTTCTCCATAGCATCAGCCAGCTCCTAAAAAATAACACACATACTTTCTCATGACAACTCAGATTTCGTACATGTCAAGCACAGATAATGAAGAAAAAACGCACAATTATATGTAAGCTGCTAAAGCAGAATGCTAACAAAAGCAGCTGTCGAATCCGCCTCAAAGTCCTTTTTTAGAACACCATGCGTAGAAAGTTTCAGAGTACACAGTCGGCTCACCTTGCTCGGGCTGGCTTTAAAGTCCTGGACTGCCACCAGGAAGCAGGGCATGATGTGCAGGCTATCAAACACCTTACCGAGGTCGCAGCCGCTCCACAGCGTGGCGCGAATCAGGTGTGTGACGCCGCACTGACAATAGACGGAACCACAGAGTCACCCACGGAGAGACACGGGGTTACAAACGGAGAACCGCAGTGTCAACACAGAACCGCAGATTCAATGACAGAGAACCGTAGTGTAACAACGAGAATCACACACGGGGAACCACGAGTGTCACACAGCGCGACAACGCACTGTCGACTAACCAAATCGCAGTGTCAATGCCGGCTGACAGAAGCGCAGACACATTCCGTCACTCCGAGGCACAGACACACTATCGTGGGACACCCACGAAGAGTGTCACTCACGAAAATGCTGGCGAAAACGGCCACGTCATGGATGTTGTTGACGTTGAATCAACCAGTTGAAATACAACATTATGAACTAAACGACACTCAAGTTGGGCTCCTGCACGGAGACTAACTCTAGTTAGGACTAAAAGTTAAACTAGGACTAAAAAAATAAAAGTTACTCTGGTAGTAGGACTAACTTACTCTGGTAGAAGGTATTCACTCTGGTAGAGGAACACATGCACTTCACGATTATACATTTTAGGAAAACAACAGCCATAAAACCTTGGATATCTTCAGCAATTCTCACCTCAATAAATACCCGTAGCACTCTATATAGAGAAAAAACAAAGAATCCTACAAATAGAAACAAACTTGCCTATCAAAGACATAGAAACTGCCTCAATGGCTTGATAAGGGAAGCGAAGAAAAAGTACTTTCAGGAACAATTATTGCTTCATAAGACAAATTCAAAGAAAATGTGGGAAATACTCAACAGTTGTATAAATAAGAATCCTAGAAAATCTGAAGCATCTGCTTTCAGTGATGCGCATGGAAATCTCATTGAAGACACCAAGCAAGTAGCTCATTTATTTAACAATTTTTTCATATCAATTGGTGAGAAGCTAGAAAAAGAAATCCCAAATACCAGAACTGATCCCCTGGATAGTGTCACTTCCAGTGAAAACACATTTGATCATTTTCACCCAACAAATTCTGCAGAATTAGAGTCCATGATAAGAAATATGAAAAATGTTGGTGCTGGTATTGACAACATCAATTCAAAAATACTCAAAAATACATATTCAGCAATACTCAGTCAATTGGTTCATTTAATAAACATATCGTTGAGTACTGGAACATTTCCTGAAAGTATGAAGATGGCTGTGGTGAAGCCATTATACAAATCTGGAAATAAAAATATATTTAGCAACTATAGACCTATTAGTATCCTTCCCTATCTTTCCAAACTTCTAGAAAAGATTGTACACCAGAGAATCAATGCATACCTCATACAGAATGACATATTATGTAAGGATCAATTTGGCTTTCAAAAATCCTTATCAACATACATGCCTATAGTACTCCTGCAAGAACGAATAACAAAAAGCATGGAAAATGGGAAAATGTCCTCAGCGGTATTCATTGACCTTAGAAAAGCATTTGATACAGTGAACCACAACATACTCATCAGCAAATGTCGTAAATACGGATTTACTGGTTGTGCTCTTCGCTTTATCAAATCATATCTCACAAACAGACAACAATGTGTAAAATTTAAAAGTACTAGATCCTCTTTTCAAAGTATTAAGCTAGGAGTGCCCCAAGGCTCTATCCTAGGCCCCTTACTCTTCCTTATATACATAAATGACTTAAAAAATGTATGCAAAAAATCAGAATGCCTTCTATATGCTGATGACACAGCCTTACTTTTTGAAGGTGAAAATACACAGGAACTACAAGAAAATATGAATAAAGAACTTGAAGCTGTATCCATTTGGCTTCAAGCAAACAAACTCACACTCAACGTACAAAAAACCATTTACCAAGTATACAACCAAATGGGTAATATCATTAATTTGAACATTATGATACATGGTGAAAGAATTGAAATAGCAGAAAAAGTAAAATATCTAGGCATCACTATTGACCCTGCCTTGAAGTGGAAATACCACATCGATAACATAGCAATCATTATCAGTAGAAATATTGGAATCTTGAGTAGAGCGAAGTACTTTCTTCCTGAAAAATCATTACTCTTGCTCTACAACTCACTGATTCTTCCTTACTTAAACTATTGCTGCCTAATCTGGGGTTTCACATATCCAACTTATCTCCACAAAATCGAAGTATTACAAAAACGAGCAGTTCGAATTATAGTAAATGAACATCGTCTTGCACATACTATGCCCATATTTCGTAAGCTCAATGTTCTTAAAGTAAACGCACTAGCTAGACAACAACTTATCATGTTCATGTATCGAAAATTCGCTTCACATTTACCATCGCAACTTAACCAATTGTTTACTACAGTAGATCAGGATAATATAAGAACAAGAAATAGACAACATTTTCACGAACCCTTCTCGGCAAAACGTTATCGTGCACAAATAGCATCATGGATAGGACCGCGTGTCTGGAATAATGTCGTTGCATCCCAATTCTCTATAACAACCATTAATCAGATATCTAAATCTCAGCTAAAAAGATACGTCAAAGCATACATCATACAAAATATGTAAGCTTTTTCGAGAATTTCCTCTGGAATTCTCGCTATCCTTTCATTGCAACTTAATTTCAAATGTACTTGCCTCAAAACTGCACTAATTGCAAGTAAATCACGTTTCATCGAAATTATTTTCATCATCGTCACCATGAATAATCTCTGGCGCTGGAGCAAGGAGCCTGACCAGCAACAAGCTTCGCTTAGCTGGAAAGGCTTTTCTGCCCTCAGCATTGACCGGCCGAATTTTTGACCAGAGCGATTCCCCACGTATGTTTGCATGACGTGTGAATGAGCGATTGTTTTTTCTACTCTAGATGAATGCATGCCCTTCTGAGTGAATGTTGCTTTCGGTATCGTAGTAGAGAACAGTCATCTGTCTGGTTTCAGCAGTGGCTACTTTCGCATTCTGTTCTTGTCTCCGCCTAAACCCGCTACCCCTTCTCTCATTTGCTTTTTTAGTTTTATTTCCTTTCTTAGCAGGGAGTGCCGCGACTTATCAGTTTATTTTATCTGGTGTTAACGTAAGGTTCTGCTAGTCGCTGGGTTTGAGGGCGGCGGCACTCCTGGTCACCTGATCATGGGTGGCGGAGTAGTTCGAAAAAAAAATAAATATTACCATTACCATTTACAAAAAAATCACAACCCACTCATTAAGACATTCCGGCACCCAGATGGAGACGGAAAATTTCTTGCACACACCAGCGCGTCGCTTCTAACCCTCCGGTCGCCACTGAACTAGCGCCCGGTTCACAGATCAACCTGTCTCACCACGAGTCGCCGGTTGGCCATGTCGCGGGCGTGTCGCAGACAGTCGGCGCAGTGCATCGGGTTTTGGTGGGCGTTCACGTCGCACGTGTCATCGGGGAAATGACAGTGGGTATACAGCATGTCACCCTTGCCCTCGCCTTTGCCAAAGTTGCAGTTTTTAAACCCTGCGAAACAGAAAGATTTTCAGATGTCATACTTACTTCGGCACATGGACTGATTCACTGTGGTAGAGAAACCGATCCCTGGTAGAACTGACTCCCGGTAGAGCGACAAAATCACTCTGGTAGAGGGACAAACTGACTTTAGTAGAGGGACTGACTCTGGTAGGGGGACTACTCAGTACTCACTCTGGTAGAGGGATAAACTCACTCTGGCAGAGGAACTAGTTAACTCACTCTAGTTGACGAATAAACTCACTCTGGCATAGGGACAAACTCACTCTGGCAGAGAGACTTTACTCTATCTGGTAGAGGGACTATTTAGTAGAGGGCCGAACTCACTCTGGTAGAGGGCGGCGAGCCGGCGCTGCGTGCCCATCATCACCAGGTCCACGTGGTTCAGACAGTCGTTGAGTAGCTGGCTGCTGGCAGCTCGGCTGAATGCCGGGCGCCGCGGCAGCTCCAGCTCCGCTCGTGGGTACAGCCAGCGCCACTCTGCAGAAAAACGACCCGTCAGGGAACGACATTGGGGGACACGTCTGGACGGGGGTCCACTGGGTAGGTCTGTTACTATACTTTAGCTGATTCATTAAATAGGCCTATCGTAACCAGAAATGTGTCCTGAGTTAAGCGTCTAGTGGTTTATAAACGAAGTTGACTTTTCCTACATTTTACTGTTGTTTCTGGCATGCGTGCTCTGTCTTTTTTTTCTAAGCATAACTTCTGGTCACATAACTTTTTGTTGTTTTTTGCTAAGCATATTTGTTACTCACATTTGCTAGCGTTTTCAATAGACAGGCCACGATGGGAGGTTTATTCGTTGAAGGTTGAATGCACCGAGATACTCACGGGCCAGTTGTAGTTCGATCATCGAGTCGAAGAGTATGTCCAGAGAGCTGAACTTGAACGCCAGCGTGTACGCATTGGCCGCGGCCGAGACGGGAATGACGCTGAGCAGGTCTGTGACGTACAACATCTGGGGAGGAACACCAGCCACACAGAGCACTGGGTCAAAGAGACAGTGCGGCACAGACAGCTCACACCTCCAGCTGACACAGCGAGCGGCCCAACACTGACGCAACTTGAAATGTCTTTGAAAATTATTAATCCATTGTTGTAATGTTCGGGGTAACACTTAATGTGATTCGATGTCTAACATTAAACTACGTCAGCTTAAAAAAAATACATATCCAACACCGACCTCGCTAAAATATTTGACATCCGACACAATCGTGACTTTAATTCGATGAATCATGCAGACCGCTTTTATGACACTGAAACACGCAGTATAGTGATTTGTCACGGCACAATGCCGTCACGCCCCACCCTATTCGTTACCTCAGTTGCCCGGCAGCGCGTTCATCGACCCCGGTCGCCCATCCCCGTGCATTCCGCACCAGCCTACCCCAGCTACCGAACGGATCACTACAAGCCCCGTGGACATACTCCCCCGGCCGAACCTTCCACCACCAAAAGATGTCACTCCGCCCTGGGCCGTCCCCATAGACGTTTCCCGGCCTGAGTCTCACATCATTCCTCCTCTAGCGACCCTTAGGCCTTAGTGGACGTCCCTCCGCCCAGGGGCTCAACCACTGCCCCCAGCAGCCCCCTGTAAACGCCCCTCCGACCCTTTTCTACACTCACGGCGCCCAGCCGAGCCCAGTAGACATCGACGACACTCTGGCCGGTCTGCGGCCTCAGTTGCACGGGCCGCGGCGGCAGCACCCCGTCCTTCCCGGAGGTCAGATCTCGGATCTCTCCGAACACACGCTTCATGGCGGCGAACGTCACTGTAGACGAAAGAGTAGAACGGAATGTGAGCGGCGGAGTTGAGCTAGGTGAGAAGGCAGTGGGCAACGCGGAACACTGGCTGTTTTCGGTAATCCATGATTTCATCGTGCTGTCGACACGGGTGAAACAGTGACACAGACAGCAGCCAATTCGGCGCAGCTCACGCCACAGCCACCCGGTGGAAACTCGATTCTGGCGCGGGACGTGACCGGCAATACGCCTGCTCAGCCCTGCCCAACCCTAGAGACACATCAGTGAAGCTGTTTACCTAGCCCATCCCTGCACCATGCACCACCAGTCCGGCCGAGCTACCGCTCCCGCTCCCGGTCCGCTCAGTCTGCGCCAGTCCCCACCTGGGTCGGCGAGCTTGGCGTGCAGCACTTTGGCGTCATCGTTGAACGTGTAAGCTCCACGGTCTCTGACGCGCCTGCCGATCACAGTGCCCGGCATTGTCTGCCGCACCAGGTGGGCTAACAACTCTTTGGACAGCATCATCAGCTCGGGAAACCACTCGAGGGCCAGCATCGTCATCGTGCTCGCCTCGTCCTGGGTCTTGGGCGGCGCGGAGCCTACCAGAGCCAGACCCTGCATGCAAAGACGGCAGCGCAGTCAGTGTAAAAGGTGCCGAGAGTCGGTGAATACAGTCACATTGTGTCCAAAACACGGCCAACAGCGGCCGTGGACAAGAGTTTGACAAGGTGTCACTTGTGCAGCTATCATATTAAATAGCAAATATACAAAACAGATGAACAGCCTGGCAGAATGAATGAACGACTGACAGGCTGAAAAGCCGTGACCACAGCAATGCCGATAGTCGACAACATCCATGCACGTTTGGCTTAACAAACAGCAACTGCGTTGCCACAGGTGGATGGTATCCTCCTCAAAAATGTACATTGTACGTCGAGCACAGGTATTTCCCGCCTCAACAGAGCGACCTGTCGGCACCCACCTTCCGCATCAGATACCGGATGCGCGACAGGTCCACATAGACAATGCGCGAGTAGCCAAACACGTGCTCTGCCACCGAGTACTGGTAGACGAGCGGGCAGATGCGCAGCAGGTCCTGCAGCTCGTGTTTGGTGGAGTCTCGGATTCGGATCAGGTCGGCGACCGGGTCCGGGCCGGGGTTGTACCGTAGCGTCAGTACGGCAGACAGCAGCTGCGGCAGACGCACGCGGACTGGGTCTCAGAGGCAGCGGGGTCTCAGCGAACGTCAGCGGAGTGCGACACGGCGGTAGCAGCAGCGGTGGACCAGCCAAAGGTGGGATGACCTGTTGTTCTCGCGTTTCGCTACATGTTTAGGACTCGCTTGTTTTTGCTAAGTGTTTACTTCCAGTCTTTATTACAGCAAAAAAAAAAAAAAAAAACTTGAAAGGGAAACACATTTTATATGTGGTCTTCCCAGCAAATCCTTATAAATATCATCAGTGAACGAAACAGACATGCTAAAATCGAGAACTAATACACATTTAACATCACACCAGGCGCCAACACACCCGAAGTAGGGGTGAGACGGGATTCTGCGGCTGTCCTACTCACGGTGTTGCAGGTGTTGATGCGGGCGGTCAGCTCGTCCCGCTCCCGCCGCAGAGCGATCGTGCTGCTGTTGCCCTTGACAGCCAGCGCCTTCCTCGCACTTTTCAAATAATTGACCATCTTCGTCAGTTGACTCTGGAACCGGCCGTGTCGTTAGGTTCATATATATGTATACTATGATAAATTGGAAGGATGGATTTGATTTTATCTCTAGAATGGCAGTTTGGAAATACATAATTCTCATTTGACACGGAAAATCGATTAGAGAAAAAATCCGCTCTAATAAATAGAGAAAAAAGAAAGAAGCGAATGCCTTGTGTAAGAAGCGAGCAGCAGACGTCGTTATGCGACGTAAGCTTCGTTACCATGAACTTTAGCAACAAAATACCGAAAGCTCCCAGCTCCCCTCCCCCCCCCCCACATCACCAGACCGTTCGTAGCCCGTCCCGCTCCTCACCTTCACCTTGTCGCGCAGGTCAATACTGACGTGTCCCAACTCGCTCTCGTGCGAGTCTTTCATGATGTAGGTGGCCCAGGCGAGCTGCAGTTCTCCGCCGCGCACCTGGTTGTGCACCAGCCGCTTGGTGCCCACCACGGCCGTCACATACTCGTGCCAGTCGAGCGTGGCGTCCACCACGGGTCGCGGCAGCGGCGGGAAGGTCGGCGGCGCCAGCACCACAGCCGGCGGCGGCTCCAGCACCGGCGCCTCTGCGGCCGGCGCGACGGTCAGGTCAGAGGGCACATCAGGCATCAGGCCAGAGCAGTACAGTCATAGACGGCAGTGTAAAACTGTAAAGACGGCTGTTCTAACACATCTGATACATAATTGCTTTATTGCTACGGTTTCTGATTTGTGATAATATACTTTATCGCTGAATGAGTCGTTTGTACTACCTACTCGCCATTCCAACAACTCACTCGGTTTGGCTCCTGCCTTGTTCGCTCCTGCCTTATCTGGACCGGTTTTGGCTGCTGCCGTCTTATCCTTATCCACTTCAGGTTTCTCATCATCCTTGGCCGACTCATCCGAGGTAGACTTATCCCCCTTCTTTTTCTTTTTCCGTTTCTTTTTCTCGGTGGTGGTGGCGGTGGCGATTCCCTCTAGGTTGGCAGCCGCCTTCCAGACGCCTTTGGGCGCCGTCCGGGCCTTGGCGCCGTCGGTCCGGGCGCCCGCGCCCTCATCCACCACGTCTCCGGCCAGGTCCATCAGGTAGTCAAACACGACGGAGAGCGCCGAGAACTCCTCCATCGGGGGCAACGTGATGGCACCGTTCGGCCGCGTCGATTTCCACCAGACCAGTCGCTGCGGTGGCACGCCGCACACGTCTGCCGGTCGGTCAGGTGAGGGCGGGCGGGCGTGAGTGTGGGTTAGTGGGGCTAGGCGCAAGTGAAGCTTGGGGTAGGTGTGGGCATAGACCTCTGTATACAGAGGTCTATGGTGTGGATAACTGTGGCTAGGCGCGAGTGGAGCTTGGGGTAGGTGTACGAGTAGGTAGCTGTGGCTAGAAGTCATTGGCAAAGGTGCAATGGGCTTAGTGTGGGCAGGTGCAAGTGCTGGTAAGGGTAAGTGGGGCTGGTACTTCCCAATGCGCGCTCGGCACGGATAATCTTAATCATAGGTCGAACTCGAGCTGACAGTTAACTGGGCTTGAAACCGAACTGCATTTATATTTAGCTTCTGATGTAGCGTATAACAATCGAGCGTATAAATGCTAGCGCATGCGTAGTTATAATTTTCAAACAAGGCACAAAAAAACAAAATTCAACAAGACGAACTATGTGTAGATGTTATATGGCTGGGCTATTCCAGTGTCACCCTCCGTCTGCCTCCCAGCCCTTCCACCGCTCCACAGGCGCCTCAGGCCCGTCTCCAGGGTCGGCGTCCCCACTCACCGGCCAGCTCGTCACCACAGGAGTTGCGCAGGTACTGTTCGAACACGCCGGTACGCAGTGGCGTCGGCTGGGTGTAGCTGGCCGGCGGACACCACAGGGCCGGCCTGGGACGTACCCGCGGCGAGACCTTCCAGGCGGGCAGCAGTCGGATCAGCGTGCCGCCCCACTGCGGACACAGGCGCGGCGTCAGAGCTAACACAGAAACAAACAGACAGAGAGGCAGACAGACACAGACACACGCGGGCAGCAGTCGGATCAGCGTGCCGCCCCACTGCGGACAGAGGAGCGGCGTCACACTTACACAATACACAGAGAGCAGAGGCAGGCACACAGCTTCACGCGGCGGCGGTCCGAGCGCTACTGAAGGAGCCCCGCTCCGGCCGTTGCAAACCTCCCCTCCCCCCTCCACCCCGCCGACTCAGCTGTGCTATCTATACCTCATCCTGCCCGCCTGACGCATGGGGAAGAAAGGAAGGGGCATGGCGAGCAATGCGCTCCACCACAGCCAGCGACTTTGTGACGCTATCAGCGACTTTGCGACGTGATCAGTAATTTCACGACGCCCCCATGCAGCGCCACCGAACAATATATAGTCTGCACCCGAACCACAGCATAACACCCAAAATCCCGTCTCGGGTGGTCACTGAGCTGTGGTTATATGATGTCCCAGAGACGAGATTCCATTGACACGGCACTTATTACCAAAATGGCAGGCTGACAATGCCGATAGAGCATTCATGTTCAGGATGTATCATCGAGATATCCGGTGTTGCATGCGAATGCAGCAGCCAACAATAACTGCTTAGCTGTCATGGCTCTTGTAGGCCATGCAGTGCAGCAAAAACGTCAAGCTTGCAATGTCTCACAAACATAAAAATGTGGGCCTAGGCATAGACCTTATTACCCAACCGACGCCCACTAGCCCATTGGCCCGCAATGGCTGAGAAAAACGGGAAGGCAAACGACTTTCTGTCGTTCTTTATTTCGATTTTATGCCACTTTTATTGATGCTTTTATCGCGAGTACCATTCAGTAAACGGAGTTTTGAAGGATGTACGAAAGGTCTCCGGCTGGTAACACAATTTTCCATCGTGTCACGTGTCCAATTTGATAATAAAAACACCCAGGATGCTAGGGTGAGCCAAGGGTGAGCGCACAACATACAAAATGAAACAAAGGTGAGTCAGATGCTAAAGGCGACCATAATCGTAGCCATCTTTGTCATAGTTAGCACCCGGAACGCCGAGTGTAACGTAATCTTGCGCCGAGCCGTCATGTCCAGCGGCGGCACATTCCATGACACCGCTAATAGGAGCCGGGATGGCTGCAGCACAGCCGCGCCCGCTGCGGTGGCACGCACCACATATTCGGGAACGGGGCAACGCTGAACGAACTGAACAATGCGAGGGCGGAATCGGTACATATTCGCCGTGTCGCGCCGTGCAACCAAGCGCAAGAGCAAATGCACAACAAAGCAAAGACAGCTAAGTAAAGAAAAATGAACTGGGGAGGACTGAAAGGTAAAAAACGACAAAATTCCTTTGCAGCAACAGCCCAGACTCTAGCCAAAGTTGTTATTCTAAATGTTTCATAAGTGATACATCGTGTTCACTAGAGCCCTAACGATGAATATGCTCATTTTTTTTCGATCTGACTTTGACCAGTCACGCGATCTCAAATTGAGTCTGGATCTGCCCCTGTAATAAGTCAGAGTTTTTATTTATGTGCTGCTGTAGGTGCTGATAATAGCTAAATCTGAGGCCAGTTTTACCAACAGAAAAATAGCCGCTTGCCGGAACATTTTGCCCAAAGACCGCTTCACATACGGAGCGGAAACGGTAAAGCCCTATTCGCTTACGTGCCCATCGCGTTTAGGCTCCGTATGTGAAGCAGTCTTTAGGCCCCCCCAAAAAAAATCCGGCAAGCGACTATTTTTCTGTTGGTAAAACCGGCATCTGGGTCATTTTTATGTTTGGGCTCCTCGATTTCCACAACTACCTATCTGAATTCACCCCCCCCCCCCTCCCCCACTGCTCCTGAGCCACCTAGCGGCACGCAGTTGGAGGCGTTAGAAAGAGCGTTAAAATAATGACGGAATTACTTGCCACCTTTAAGGTCAGGTCAAAGGTCAGGTAACTAGAGGTCATCAAAGGTCAGATTTCGCATATTTGAACAATTTTTGACAAAACGGCACATAACTTGGAAAAAATAGAGCCACTGCGCCCAGGACAGCGCATTCAATAGCCTGTTGATGCTCTTTCTGCAAAATTCTCGTAGATTTTTCTTAAGTTCAACGGTTTAGCCTGGAGGGGACAAAAACTCCTAAAAATAACGTTTTTGCGTTTTTTTTAAACAAAAACTTTTGACTTAAAACTTTAGAGATCTTACTGTTACCAGCATCGTGTTCCTCTTTTCGAGACGCGTCGAATGAACTATAATTTGACCTTGACAGGTCAACTCACAGAGTTGACCTCAGGTCAACTTTGTAAGTTGACTCAGGTGGATTTGTTGCGTCTGGGCACCCCCAGCTCGGCACAAAGTTCCACCAATAGTCACTGATATAAGAGTTCTGAGATGTATGTTGTGTACATAGCAGCTGTTGCCCTTATCTGCAATTGCTGAAAGTTTTAACCCTCGCCAGTATAGGGAGGGGGGTCGAACGGACCCCCCCCCCCCCCATGGTTTTTCGTGAATAACTCGCGTAAAAAGCGGCCGATCGCGACGAAACTTTCAGTACCCTCGCGTTCATCAATTTCACACCTACCCTGAAAATTTCATGCCCTGACCCAAGTGACCTTTGACCTACTTTTCGAGACCATGTAAAATGACGATAATAACTCAAGTTTATTGTACAAGACAAAGCTTTCGATACATAAAGTATCTTGATCACTGTCAATGAGATGCAGAATATTTGAAAATTCACAAATAACAAAAACCGACGCAAGTCGTTGCATTTCTTTTTTGTTTTGTGAATTTTTGTTATTTGTGAATTTTCAAATATTCTACATCTCATTGACAGTGATCAAGTTACTTTATGTATCGAAAGCTTTGTCTTGTACAATAAACTTGAGTTATTATCGTCATTTTACATCTGTCATGGATTCGTTTTCGAGACCATGTTTGGCTGGAATTGCGATTCGGCGTATGTCGGCTCGCATTAGCCGCGCGTTAGCAGTCTTTTCGTGGTTTCAAGCGTTCAAACATGTGATATGATGTTGCCCCAATGCATTAGGGTGGGTGTCAAGGTCACCTGAAGGTCAGGTCAGGTCATTGACCTTTGATGACCACGGCTCACTTTTTCGAGTTTCACATGTTTCTAGGCCAGTTTTTTAGCTGAATTCGAATTTAGCAAACATATGAACATTTACGAAGTAGTTTTGGTGCCTTCGAACATATTACGAAGCTGTCAGAGGCGGTTGCCACCTACTACGAATACCCTTACTGGTTGACCTGACCTGACCTGGCCTAAATACATGAAGACATCATCTGTAATTAAAACTAACATGATATTCGTGATCAGCACCCCGAAAAACCACATAGCAGCCACACTTTACGACGTTCTAACAGGTCCCGATTTTCCCGCCTTTGGGGTCATTGACCTGACCTGCAAGGTCAACCAATGACCTAGGACCTTAAAATTGGGTATCATCGGCTTCCTCTCGTCACGGGCAACACGCTCGTTTTTTCCGCGAAGCTCTAGCTCGATCAGGGGCGAAACGGCAAGGGGGGTCCAACGGACCCCCCCCCCTATACGTTCGCGGCTGGAAAAACACCAATACGGGCGAGGGTTAAAGTGATCTATCACTGGTGTAGCTAGCAAAACCATTGAGCTTTTTCTGAGGTGAGGTCACTTGACATGACATGGTGAACTGATCTTCATAGACCTTGATCTCAAATTTTCACAACATGTGCAGGAAAGATGCAAGATTAGGCATGACAAAAATGCTGTTTGCAAGAAACAGCAAGGGGGGGGGGGTCAAACACCCTCTAGCAGGGCGCAGGCTAATAAACATCATATTTAATATTTCCTTTCAATGTGGGGCATTTCATGAAAAATGTTTCAAAACTGCAATTAAATAATACTGGCATTAAACAAAATATACATATTATCTGCTAGGAGATATACCCATGGCCCAACTACCTAGCCTCGGAAACTTGCAATCTTTATTCCAAGGCAATGGATTTACTTTCTTGCCAGAAAGGGGGACAAGACTTGCCTTTTGATGTGAGTACAAGTTGACATTAAAATACCCAAGTCAATCCATCTAGTTGATTCCATATTTATGCCCCATGATGATGAATTGTTAGTAAAACCCCTCCAACACAGTTCAAGAGGTGGGTGCCAGTGCTAATGCGTACAGTAAACAAGCAGTAAGTTGGAAGTTACCTTGAAAAGATAACGGATGATGTTGTAGAGCAGGCTCAAAACAACCAGGACAATAAAAATGATGATCTTCAGAGTCATGAGCAGCATGGAAAGGAGAACTGGCACATTTTCCTCCAATGTTTTGTACGCAAATAAGAAAACGTAGCAAGCAGAAAAAAGAATGCAAGCTATGTATGGGCCCAGTAAATGATAAATGCATGAACTTGCTGTATGCAAAATAAAATACAATAATTTCACGAAAAACACTACCACCAACAGAAGAAGCGAAGCAATGAGCTGAACAATGTCCCAGAGCAGCGCCATGTTACAACCAGCGTGGTTATGCCGCCCACGCGCGGCTCAAACCAAACTGAGCTCTGTCGTTCGCGCTATAGGTATCTTGGTTCGCGCACGCCCCCACATGTCACCGCGTGAACTCGGCATGAGCACAGCGCGAAACAATAACAGTCGGTGACACACCAGGGAAATAAGCTAAAATTAGAGCGCTCTATTTATTGCTCCCGCTACTTCACCGTCTCCCATAGGGTCCTTTGTTGAGCTGGTGTCGAGGCTCTAAAAATGACGCCGATTTTTGCACCCTTCTCACGAAAACCGCTCGGACCGCCTGGAAACTAATTGTTCCGCTCTAAAAATTTCATGATCGACGGGAAAATGAATGAGGAAAAGATTGGTCCTGAAATAATTCTGAACTCCCTGTAGAACATATCGAAATATGGCTGCAAACTAGGAGCATGTCAAAATCGACAAAACAATACAAATAAACTTACCGGGATTTTTTT